CCTTTTACAGAGCTCTCTGTTTTGTGACAAATAAAAATACTGAAGCAGAAACTTCAAAACTTTACAAATGATTTAAAAATTTTCAAAGACTAAAAAATGAAACTCACACACAGGAATTTGTTTATATCAGAAACAATCGATGAAATAAAATACAACTATTGGTTAGCTTTAGTGAATAATTTTTTTTTTGGTTTTTTGTTTTTGTTTTTTTTTGTTTGACGATTTACAGGCTTATTAAGTATCTTTTATGAAGAGTGAAGAGATAAGAAAACAACTGGACAACAGAAATAGTTGGAAATCCACATACAATCCGTCACCAGTTTATGTCAAAAGTGGTAAAACGGTATGTCTTTTGTTAAAAATAAGAATATTGAAACAGCCTATCAAAATTTCTAATCTTCTGTAATTAAACCCCAATATACAATTTAGGCAATTAAATGCCGAACTTGGCTGAAACTGCGTTTAAAATAACAATTCGATTTTTTAAGAAAATAAAATACACAAGTTCATTCTTCACAGGTGATGGAATTGTTTCGCTTATCACCGGTAACTGTGTTTTTATTTGGTTTCGTACCGCCAATGATTGGTGCTTTTGCAACTATAACCACAGCTTTAATTTTTCACAGTGAACAAATTAGGAATTACAACTGGCAATGCGGGGTATGATGTTTATTTTCAGTTTTTTTTTTTTCTAAATCCTAATTAGTTTACACAGGGTATTTAAGTGAAATAAAATGCACGAATTTGTAGAGAGCTCGACTACCATCACTTTCACGAATAATAAATTTGCCGGTGGAACGGTTACTTTGGCAATTTTTGGTGCTTGTACATACACCTGCTCGAATCGTTGAATTATTTACTGGTTGTAGGTTTTTTTTTAGATAAAAATTTGAGACTAGTAATTGGTGTTTAGATTAGATTTGAAAACTTATTAGAAATATTTGACATTTTTTTTGCTCCGCATGAAATAAAAAATCTTTTTTATTCCCAAATTATTAGTTTAATTTTTACTTGTAGTTTATCGCTATGGACGTCTAATGAATGTGAACTATCGACAAAAACGATTTTATGAGTTTGCGCGGTATGTATATTTCTATGCTGGCAGTACAGAATTATTCTTTATGATTGGTTTATCACTCCTTGGTGAACGCGAAAATATTCGTAAGTGAGCTTGTGACATCGTCTTTTTTCAAAAATTTTAATAAAGATATAGTCCAGAAAACAACCAAGTTTTCATGAATCCCATAATTAGACGTGAAAGCAAGGTGAATAAATCTAACACCTCTACTCACAGTAATAAGTTTTATCTGATCAAAATGCTTTATTAAATGTGTACTTCACTTATAAGACAATTTCTTTAATTCTTAATATTAATAAACTTTTTTTTTTTTTCGGATCAATGATTTTGTCAACCTGTTTATTTCAGAAATCCATGTTGTACTTTTCTATATATTTGGATTTTGTAGCATTGGCTTTTTTATAGCAAATCTTGTTTGTCATCGACATTCGCTATATTTCCTCCCTCCATACGTTAGTCCTTATGCCAAAAGTTCAGTTTTTTTTCTTATGATGAAATCAAATCACTTAAAGTTTTATTGATTTCAGACTAGATAATTCAAGTCAAAAATACTAGAATTTCCATATCAGATGAACTGATTACTTGGGAATTGTGCAACTTTATCACTCTGCTCATCTCTAATTTTCACATAGCGAAAAAAAATTTACAAGAGAAAAGGCCTCTTAGCACGGATAATGCTTGCAAAAACTTAAGAATTCTCAAGCGTTTGGTTTATCTTTGTTTGCAGCTCGTTTTTTTTTACTGTAAATTCCATTTCAGTCTTTGACGACATTTGACAGATAACGGAAACATTACAGTGTCATAGCAAGAAAGTCTTTCTTGAAGGAGCGATGTTTTAGAAACAGCAATTTAGTTATTTTCACCGTATTATCGGGAAATTTAGCAATGTTTTGCGGTGCTGTAACTTGACAAATATTAGTATAAATGATATATTGAAACTTAAATGAAGCATAAGAGAGACATCAAGATTTTTGCAGGGCCATCTGTCATATTACTTAAAAATTACTTTCTGTACTATTTATTTGCTGTCTCTTCCTATTTTGTTGGTATCTTTCTTATTATATTGGAAAGTTTGTGTTACAGCTGGTAAAATTTTTTTTCCTTTTTTTTGTAATTTGTGATAAAAATGATATCATCAATGTTTTTTTGCTGATGCTTGAACCTATCTTTCCTAGTGCTAGCAAACATTTCTCTACAATAATTTGGATTCATGGATTCACAAAATGAAAGAAAAGCATATCAAAATAGTTGAAATTACTGAAGGATGGATATAAGAATCATAAAAATGAATCAGAAAGCACTTTTTGCTTTCATTTTCTGTAAAGGTAAACGGCTGTAAATTTGATATGTAATTTCAGCGTATGAGGTATTTGCGATATGTGAATATATCGGTGTATTTTTGAATATCGCTTATCATGGTTGTGCTTTTTATGATATTCGGTACAAAGTGATATTTAGTGTTCGTCTTGTTGAAACAGCACAATTTTCAGAAAATTATCCGGGAAAAATTATATGATCATCAGATGGAAAAAATGAGATTATGTTTGAATATTATAACATGATCACAAATTAGCATCAAACATGAATTTCACTAAAATTTACAAAAATTTTCAATTTCTTTTTTTTTTTTTTTTTTAAGAGCACAGAAAAACTCTGAAGGTCGAAAAATGTTCTGTGAGTATTTATATTCTCCTGTTTGACAACAAAGCTTAATTTGAATATTTTTTTTGTGTGCTGATGTGGTTAAAAAGCAGATATTATGCTAAAACTGTCTATTGTTCAACTGGTTCTTTGCTACTGACTACTGAGCCTACTTTATAATTATTTCATTGGTTTTGAAATGCACCAAAAATAATAGTAGTGTAACTACTATTCATATGCTTGTAGGTGATCGAAAACGATGGTCAAAAAAAGAAAATGTTTGTTTATCCACTACTTGTATAGAATTCAGGTAAATCTAACTAGTGCTTTTTTTTTTTTTTTTATTTAGCAAGGAAGATCGTGCTAAAAATTTTTTTTCCTTACATTAGAAAGTACTGACATTAGTCCACGTTTTGATTAGCAGCTTGTTTTGAATTTGCAATTTCCATCACTCATCTACATGCTACTATCTTAACTGGGGACTAATTACTAAGGGTGAAATCTTGACAGTGCTTCTGTGACAACAATATCACGGTATATCACGTGCATCTGATTTCCAGGTTATAAGTCTTGAACAAACTTGAAACTAGAGTTTCGAAATTGGAGTCAATTCGAAAAGTACTACTAATGCAAACACAATTTTCTGTATTGAAATGAATAGCAAGGATTTGCTGTTTTGATTAAACAACTTTTCACATTTTTTTCCTGAAGAAAAGGATAATCATAAGAAATCTCAAAAAAAAAGTCTCAACCCATGGAAGAACCACTTGAGGAAATTCCAATTAGTTCAGATACACCTGAATTAAAACTGCCAAACTATCTTATCTCTTTACTTCACTTTCATGCTCTCACTTCTATTCGGTCAAAGTACAGCTTCGATCGATAGATGCTATTACATACACCTACATACAACCATACATACATACACACAGACATACTACGTACATAGACCCAGAATAACGAATTATACGCCACTACCACCTCAGTCAGCCGTCGCTTGCTCGGTTGATTCAGTTTTAAATATAAGCTCATACATACACGTGCACGTCGTACAACAGTTGATGAGTGCGTAACACGTGTGTGTGTGTGTGTGTTCACTAGTAGCTCAGGTGGTATATCTACAAAAGGAGACCCCACTCCTGTTTTTACTGCATTCGCTGGTGTTGCTTACTGTTAATTGAAATATCACACTATGTGAAAAGAGGAGAGGATTTCTCAGGTGAATAGTATCAACTTCAGCATTCAGGTAAAGGTCTTTGAGTTATGGGAGACAAACAACCCGCATGCATATCTTTCGGGAAGAATTTTCTTTAAGGATCGTTCTGGCACTATTTATAAAAGATAACGTTTGGATGTTCCCAAAATAAGCTATCGTTTCCTTCCGTAATAATTGCGCCAAGTTTGCGTATGCAACTACAAAATTTGCGTATATTTGTACCCCAGTCTCAGTGCCCGTTGACCATCTCAGCATTGTTTTTGATTTCTAACTCCTCTCAACAGCCTAATTACTGTTCTAAATAATGAAAATTTAAAAATCAATGTGAAGAAATTCTGCTAAATCTTATTGATTCAACTAATGTTCATCATTTTGGACCATTTATAGCGTGTAATCAGATTGTGTTCAGGTAGTTGGTATCTTTGCATCATAAACTTTTCTTTTATTTTTCCGTTTTTTGTTCACCCTTTCCAACCATTAGCATATATACTAAGAGAACTGGCTAAATTATAGAGTTGATTGTCTTGCTTTAACAAGCAAATTTATATATCTCCGGAAAAATCAGTCAGAAAATGCATGAAGTGAAGAATTATTCTATCAGAAAATATTGTTTCTCGATAACCATCAGCCTTTATAATTGTAAGAAATAAGAATGATATAAGAAGGTCATATATTGAATTCGGTATGTTATAACTGTGCTGTATGAATAATTTCTTCTAATTTTTATAAATGCTTTTGAAACTTCTATAACTCATTCTTGTCTTTCTTTGGTTCATTAGCATTAATTGTGTTCACTTTATCCCTGAACTTAAATCTGCTTGTTTCAGGGAACTTTTGTCGTTTATTTTTCATCATTTCCAGTATTTTTATGGCTTTTGCACATCCTTTTAAAGTATGCAGTTGCATGTTTCTTCGCCTGATTGCATTTTACAATAACAGCAGACTCATAGCTGCATAAAAAAACAACCCGCATCTCACAGATTCATTTCCCTAAATTAACGACTTGTTGCCATGTTGTCCATTAATTTTCCTTGCCCTCATCAGTAATTCTTAAAATTGAAACTAATGGAATTTTCTGTGCTATGGAAGAAAGGCTCTTCGCAAACAGCTCCAGTCGTTTTGATGTTCGGCAGTATCTCCATCATATTCACTGAATTATATCATAAAGTTAGAGGAGTATCCGGAAAGTTAGTAGAAAAATTAGATGAAAATGCTTCAAATTATGTAATGGTGCTTCAAATTATGGATTCAAGTATAGGCATTGTCAGTGGGAAATTTGGAAAACTAGAAGTTAACATCCCCAAAGATATAAAATTTATCAGTTGACTAAAAGTTTCTATATCACAAAATGAGTATTTTTTTACTGTATTTTCAATAAACCATGGAATAATAAATGAACTGATAAATGAAATATAATGGAATGACAAATGAATTGATAAGCAAAGTTAAGCATCGAGTTATATGCCAGAATTTGAAATGATCCCTTCTTGCTCCTTCCTACTTTTTCTATCCGTTCTCATTTTCTGTCTTCACAAACTAGAAGAGTTTCCACTGATTTCATTTGGCTATAAGTGATAGAAAGCCAGTATGACACATGATCCTGTTTTACCCTTCTTAAATTTCAGTTTTCCATTTTTCTTTCTAATCATTTTTCCCTTTTTATTTACCATCGAGAAGGTTTTAAATATCACCGAGTGCTGTCTGTTACGTTGTTATGGTATTTGAAAGAAGTGTACCGTCATTTCCTAATGATCACCCAGTACGTCATTACTGCTTTTCCTTCAGTGAAACAGTTTGAATCTGGCAATGATTATCATTTAGCTCTCTCGCCCTCTCCTTTTTTCGTTTACTCGTGCCGTCTCGGTCTTCTTTCTATCCTTTTGTTATCCCTATATTTTTTCGGTCATTTCGAAAAGATTTAATCGTTTTTTGCAGCGTCTTTAACTAAACACTCCCTTCAGTGAATCGGTAGTTTTCTTGAAATATGTCGTATTGGTGTCCTCTTGGAAAGGCATGGCTATTGATTTTCAGTTTTATTGTATACCACTTTAAAACGAAACAAACGCATTCAGTGAGGCAAAATGCTACTTCATCGAAAATGCTGTTCTACTTAGACACAGTTTGCTGCTTTTATCTTTGCTCTCTCACCTCTCTTTCCTTCTTCAAATTCAAAATATTTGAGATGATTTATTTGCATTTGTGGAATCCGTATTTCTTTAATGCTGTAATTCTGCTGAATATTCTTCCGTTGTCGTAGATAAAAAGTTTCAACATATAATGCTATTAAGATGATCCAGTCTAGCCTATTTTATGGAATGAAATCGATGAAGTGTTAAGTTTGGTACTACATCTATAATTTTAAAAATGCATGTTTTACACTCTGTCAATGGGTCAAGTAACTAAATTTAGAACTTAGGGGATTTAGAGTAATTAAATGTAGAACTTATTCTGTGCGAGACCATAGAAACTGAGAACTTATTCATTCCTTCAATTTATATAGCAGTATTCAACAGACCGTTTTAATCAAAGAAATAACTGAACCAGTTATCGTGCTTTACCCGCTAACATATAGTTTTTTTTTTTTTTTTATTTCACTTGCTTATATCATATTCTATGAATAGAGTAATTCAGTTTTGCTACTTTTTATGGTTCATAGAACTCTGAACCAAAATTTCTTTCGTATCCCCCAGTGTTTAACCATTCATAGAAACGAATCATATTGTTTAAATTCAACAGTACATTATGCAAAACAGAAAGCATTCATTTCCATTGTATTTTCTACTTCTGTCTCCCATAATGTTTCATGGCATTAACTTTTTATTATTGACACACTTTCCTCTATCCGATATAATTTTTGTTCCACTTTTTTTTTTGGAAAAAAAAAAAAAAAAAATTGGAATAAATGTTATCCTGTCCAATTAATTGCAAACATTTATGGTTTTCTGCATAAATTAGTGATATAATGAATGAAAAAATTACAATTTTCAAAAATACTGTAGCAATATTCATTACATAAAGCAAAATTCAAGGTTAGAAAATCAGAGAGCTTAACTTTATGGCTGTACATTCGGAAATCCCGAGAAATAAGATTAATTTTTGACAGTCTTGGGTGGATTGAAATTTAATTTCGGAATCTATTTTGTGAAAGTTCAAAATATAAGCAAATTCTATTCTAAACATGCAGTAGGTAGTTAGTATGCTGGGCAGGTTCGAGGGAGTGTTGTTAGGAGATGGGACATGAGACTAGCTGGCTTCAGTTGAACTACAACCGCTTTTCATCAATCAAACAGCTTCACTGCATTCCCCACTATATATTTCTCTTTCCTATTCCACATTTACTTTCGCTATTTTTCAAATAATCTTGTCTGACAAATCTTGGATTCTTTGCGATCATCTTGTATCACCTTGATGGAATACTGTGCTTCCTCATTTCTTTAATTGTGCCTCAGGTCTGTGCTAATTCTCGAGCTATTTACCTATTCGAAAGGCTATCATCTATGAGTTATTTTAATATCCTCTGGTCTCATTATTCACATCACGCGCTAATATCATTTTTATTATGTTAAATTACCTTTCTATTACCTTCTCTCCACTTTGAAAGTTTTCGGAACGATGAGGTAAAAGAATAAGAGAATAATTATGCATGCTTTCAGTGTATCTTATTATTTGAGCAACATCTAGTCCTCTTGTTCATGAAATGCTGATAAAAGTGACACGAATACTGAGACCAGACGTCCAAATTCATATTTCAAATTTCTTTCTTAATCAAAAAAAAAAACTTCTATGAAATGAAAAATGGGTAATCTAATCGAGATAAAATAATTTCTTATGTCTTCTTGCTTTGACACAAACTTTAAGCTTATTTTCGATAACATTTTTCCAGGATATTTTGGATATTTCCGAATATAGAAAAAGAAATATAGTTATAAATAGAGAGGGCCTTATGGATTCAAATTTAACATTCCGGGAGTTTTCTTTGCATCTTGTCAGATAATATGCTTATTGGCAACTAATTCATTAACGCCGACTCACACATGCGCAAACATACATACCTATTTATCTCTTTGTACTTTAAAGAATGTTTCTGCATATGCATATTTCTGTATATATTGGTATGTGTATGGTGGTAGTATCCTTTTCCAATTAAAAGTTAACTTTATTGTATTTGTAAAGCAAGCGAATGGTATGAAAAGTGGAAATATTTGTAGAAGTCGTTGAGTTGTGGATTTGTATCGAAAGTTGAATAAGAGATTACAAAGATATAAATCGTTTTGGAACTGATATTAAAAGTTCACAATCTTGCGTCAGTGAATGAAGTGATGGCTGTTTCTTTTTTTTTTTTTTTTCAATGATAGCTGGAAGAGCTATCGCTTCATGCACTGATACGAAATTATAAACTCATTTTTTTTTTTTTTTTCAGTGAGAGATATCGGTATTTAGTTTTATGTCCTGTTGATGCATCCCAACTGGGGAAAGCGATGATTGGGGAGATGTAAGTTTTTCTTCTGAAATTATTGGTATGTTAAAAATCTGTTCAAAACAGATGTCTCCTAAATGTTAATAATGTGACACAGCTAATTTGTGTTTTATTTAGATTTTCCTTCTTATTTCATTGCTTTTAGAGTGATTTTTTAGTCGCTACTGATAAATATAACGAGCTATAAATCTGCAGTTAGTACTACCTGTTTGAAATGTTTTGTGAGTACTTTGCAATATTTTTCAAGATCCATAAACAATTATCTCATTATCACTAAAAGCTTTACTGCTTTCCACTTTCCATTTTTGCTCTTTGTTTTTCTTTATGCTATGAAACTTTCTTGGGATAAAATCTTTTTTTTTTTTTCGCTTTCAATTTTTATTGCAATGGGTAATCTGCACTTCAGGCATTTCAATTTGTCGGCTCAACTGAACGGTAGTAAGTGTCGGCGATACGTCCTTTTTCATTTCCACATCTTCATTTCCTCTTTCAACCACAACTTGAGAATTTAACAAAATGCTAATAACTTTGGCGATGACTGATAGTATCGATAAATTGCATAACATACAGGAGTGTTCATTTTCCTTATTTTAGAGAAAACCTAAACATGATGTTTTCTTAAAAAGTAGAGGAGGGAAAGGAGATTTATCATTTGGTTTCGATTTCTCTTAGTGTTGAGAGCGTGAAAGATTTTGAAATCCTTAGCTCTGTAGTGGAAATAGTGTGTAATTATCGTTGACGGACATAGGGGATTATTATCTGATAACATTTCGTACTGATCTTCATTCTTCAGCAGTTGTTGTCCCAGTATGCAAATTTCCCTGAGGTATCATTTTGCTTGCTTACCTTTCTTCCTCTGCTTAATTTTTCCCTCGCGTCTATTGACATTCATTTCCCTAGAATTGATATACTCTACAAATCAAACGTCAACCAGTGACTTTACAAATACACTTTAAATTTTTCATCACTTTAAAATAAAAAAGGAATATTTTTGCATGAATTACAGAATTCTTTTGAAGCAACCAGAGGAAGGCAACTTGTTTGTGTTGCAAGTTCATCTTTGTTAAATCTTCAGAAGGCCGGAAGTACTGGAATAAAAGAATATCTGTAAACTGTAAGGCAATGTGATCAGTGGAAATAGATCTCTTGAAAAGGTTCATACTCTACCATGCCGTCCTGGAAACGAGTCTTGTGAGAGTCTCGAACAATCAATTTCTCTCTATTTTCTCGGGAAGGAGGAGAAGGAAGAGCTACCACGGATAAATACATAGGCAGAGAGATATAATGATATTCATGTTTGTTTGTATGTCTGAGTTCGTGAATGGCCTATGCTTAGGGCCTATAGGTTGTTTGCTTGTTAAATAAGCCAACCACATTACTTATCATATGTTTTCTCTTCCTTCCATGTCTTATTGATCTATTTCTAAAAACGTTAAGTATATAGCAGACGTGAAACGATGAGATTTGTAGGCGTGGTGAAACTTTTTAGTCCGACTTACTGATCTTATTTTTTTCTTCCCAATCTGATGTTTATATGTTTAAAATTGTCATTTCATAGCTGCATTTTATACTTTAATAATTTCGCTTTTCAGTGCTTACTATTGTCATTATTTCAGCATGGTTTACGTTGTTTCCTCATTAAGTGTTCATGTATTCACTGAAATGAAGAAATGAATTAACAGCAATAGATGATAAAGTAAATCTAATAATATGATGATGATTTTTTCAATCCCTTCAAGCCTTTCTGCTTATATCATCCTTTCGTCATACGAAGGTTAACGTCTGCAATTCTTTTACCTTGTTTATTAACTTGTTTTTAAATGCGGCGTCACTAACGCATTCTTCAAAACAATTTTAACATCTAAAATTGTTTCCGGAACGTTTGAAAATGCTAAGTTCTTGGCCAACCCAAAATCATTTCATTGCTCACCAACTCAGCTGACATGTGCTACCGATGTTTCAAGAATGAGCAATCTTTTTTGAATTTAGAATACTTGACGTCATACTTGTTACATATCATAGGTTGAAGGATTGTGATGCATTAGATATTATTATGAAAACACAGCTAAAGCTGTGTTTGGTTTATATGTTAGCTTTTAAGGTTTTGGAAGACCTGTTGGTATCAATATTACTTTGCAGCAAATGGTATATCCTGCAGGAGGTAGCTGCAGTGTTTTTTATTATTTGCTTTGCACATATTTCTGGTACCATGTCAGAAAATGAATTCCATCGTTCTTTGTATGAAAGTTGAGCAAACAAGTCATAAGATTTTTATTAGTGGTGCAGGATTCACTATACCTTTTGTAGAATATCAGATTAGAACTTTTTTTTCCACTAATTTCATTTTGGCATAAATTGTCGGCTGTAGAGTTTTTATGCTCCAAATTTGAACATGAAACTCAATTTTCCAAGCCACTCCAAGATTTGTTGTTCTGTTGTTGTTTTGAGTTCTTTCCAAAAATAAAAATGTGGGAATTACGATCCCATGCGTGAGATCAGCTTTGAGTTTTCATATCACAAAAATTATACAGTTTTTTCTTTCTTCTTTCATTTATTTAGTTTACTATTAAAGCGAACATGTAAGTGAATCACATGAAATCAAAAAAAAAAAAAAAAAAGAAATTAAGCTGCATAAGAGAAAGTTGCAATAAAGGATGGGTAAACGAAATTCAAATATTTGGGAAGAAAAAAAGTGTCACACTACATTATAATTAATTTTTTTCTAAAAACGAATTTTTTCTATTTCATGAGACTTTAAAATGAACGTATTCGATACATAAGTTATCAGAGAAAGATCAGGAAATTTATAGTTATGTCACTTTATCTAACTGTAACTTAAGAAGGTTTTTTTTCAACTTAACTTGCTTTTTAAATGTTTTATGATCTCCTTGATTTAAGTTGGAAACTGTGTAAGATAGTGAGAGTTATGACTACTTCAAAATTAATTTTATTCAAAGTAAAATAAAAGGGATTGATGCAGTAATGATCGCATAGGAATGGTGTCTATTCAGTGAATGTTCTGTCTTTGACTTCCTTATTTAGGATGATGTGTAAAAGTTTAGGTGAGCCGCAGCAAACCATTCATTTATGACAGAAAAAGTAATTGCGACAATATTTTTCGTGCTGCCTTACTCCATGATCATATTGCCGTTGTGCAACATTGTTCATTTGTGTTTGAAATCGACTTTGTTTTAGTCTTCTATCAACTATTTATTTGTATTTATTCATAATTAAATTGTTCATTTATTTATTTATATCTAAAATAATTTTGCTAATATCTGTGAAATTGTTGCTATTCTTTACTGACATATCTTTTCCTGATAAGGTTATTGAAACCTAAACGAGTTTCAGGAACTGGATCTTTCTTTTCTCCTTGATTTAATCACATTTTTAATTAAATCTTAGGGTGCTTCATCATTGCTAGCCATTGCTTTTGCTGTCTATAACGACATGAGAAGCTTTAGCTAAATGAAAAAAAAATTAAAAAATAAGTTGAGTTAGGCATGTGTATAGCGGGGTAGAAAAGTGACTTGAAGCTTTTTTTTCGAAATTTATATCACTCACTTAGTTCCAATTTAAATTCATTTTCAATGAAAGAAGCTAAAATCACTAATTAATTTGGCATTGGTTTGGCATTGGTTCACTGACATATTGTTTTTATGGTTTGTTGTATTAATAAGTAAATGTGATGAGGGAAAAGTGATGGCTGCTAATAATGAATGGGGACGGTATCCTTTTTGTAAATGGTAAGTAATTAATTTCCGGTGTTTTTTAGTGGAATATTTGTGAAATGTTTTGTGAGCAAAGCAATTTTGAAAAACTGCTCAAGTTTTAATTCGTATAAAGATAGTAGCTCTTTTTTGTAAGTGGTAAGCAATTAATTCATTTACTGCATTTGCAGTTCAGTCTGAATGTGAATGTATGACAGTTTTCGAGTTTTTGTCTTTTACAGTAGATCGAGAGTTGTTATTGAGGTTCTTTCTCTTTAACCTTTCATTTCCATCATATCCCTTAACGTTATTTTATCTTCTTTGTTTGGAATCTCCTTTTACAATTTTCGAAATTGTGTTTATCGTCGCATAGCTCAACTGAGATTAAACAATGGAGATTAAAAATAGCTACTAGATGCAGTTTCATGAAACTTCTATTTCTGTGGACATCTATTTTCTCAAATGCAAAGCCTTGTCCTCCTTTCGTATTCGAGCATTCGACGTGTTTATTAATCAGAGTTAAAGGTTTAAAAAATGATGAATGTTTTGCGAAAAATTAAGGACCGTGAAGTAGGATTTCTTAAGTCAGGTAATATTTGCTCAACTTTCTATCTTAGGCTTCAAACTCTCATTTTTGCTAATTTGTTGCTATGATGTCACTATGTTACTCCATTTTATTTTTTTTTTTTGTTATGTTTCTGATCCTGGCTATTTATATGTTGTTGATATTTGAACGACTTTATTCCCTCGGCATGTCATATAAAGTGAATAGTCAGGATGGTGTTTGCTTCACTGAAAGTATGTCTTCTATTCTGAATTGAAAGTGAGGAATTTTTAGAATTTTCTGAAACTCTGACCCTTTTGGTCATCTTTCTATGTTACGTCCTAATCAGCAATTGTGCGTATCTAAAGTGTATTACAGTTATCGATAAACCACAGAAATATGTAAATAAGAAAGTAAAGAATTTCTAGTTATCTGGTGTTTGTCGTCGTATGGCCTCGAGTTTTTATCGATACTTACAAAACAAATATTCCGTGCCTTCTATAGATTATTTGCAACCATAACTTTCATTTTGTTATCTTACAACATCTTTAACACGCAAACTTCGAGAGAGTGATTAAGTCAAGGAGTTATGGACTTACCTAATTAGAGTTAAAAATAATGGTTTTACGCGTGAGACCAAATTTTGGAAAGTCATATAAGTCCGTGTCTGATGCATCGTTAGGCATGGTCAGGTAATATCGAGTTTTTTTTTTTTTTTTTTGAGAAAACTGTTAGATAACTGGAGAATAAGTACTCATTATCAGTAGGATCAGATTTTCAAGCGCAACAAAATTTTAAGTTTTTCTTGTCCTAGAAAATAATAAAAAAAATAAAATGTTTTCAAAGAATGCATATTTTCTCGTGTATTATAAGCTACACCTAAAAAATGAGTTTTTATTCCATTCCAATACGACAATTATTTTGCATTGTAGAACATTGTCATAGAGATATATGGTTCCTGAAATGTAAGGAGGAAACTTTTCATAGTTGTTTTCATATTTGTTTATATTAATTGTTTAATAGTGCGTACTTTTTAATGTGCCAAACAGAGATTGTGCTAAATTGTTTTGCTTCTTATAGCCTAGAGTTTTTGTCAACATTTACATGATGAGAGTATTTGTCGCGTTTTGATACATTTTTCAAACGATTTCATGTTACATTTTTTTCCTACAGATCAAAATGTCCTGATTATCACAGGTAGTTGATCCGTGTCAGAGACAATTTGTTCGCGGAGAAGCTAGTAGAGAATTTTCAGCAAAAAAAGTCTACTGTATACTTACGGTTTTTTTTCGCATCGAGTTAGCAGTTCAAAAATTTTCAAACGGTATGCATACTTTCCTTCAGTGTTATTAAATTATGGTAGTTATACCGCAGACGAGTAACGTCATGAACAATACCTCGACAAATTTCAGCGACAATTATGAAGTCAAGGAGGAGCTCGGGAAGTTGGTTTTTTTTTTTTTTTTTTTTAATTCTTTACAAATAGTCACAAAAAGATATCCATATTCATTTATGCATCAAGTTGCAGCCAGATCACCGGGACAATAGACTCTGTAAACTTTTCGCCTGTTTACCTGAATTTGTTTGAACACTGTAACTGATATTCGTAATGTTACGTGTTATCAGCATTCCAGGACATACCGGCACATTATTTTAATTTCATTTCGAAAGCAGGTAGTGCATTACTTTCGTATAGCAACACATGTAACATTACTTTTCTAACTTCTTTTAGAGGTGCGTTTTCGGTAGTGCGAAGATGTGTACAGAAACGAACTGGTATGGAGTTTGCTGCAAAAATCATTAATACGAAGAAACTTTCCGCACGTGGTTTGTGTATTTTATTCTCATGAATTTCATTTTTTCACATCGTGAAGAATTTAATATTACATTCATTTCCTTTACCAAAATTCAACTAGGCTAGAGTTTTTGTCGGAAATCTGATACTGAAAACTTTTAAAAAGCCATATTCAATAAGCCCTTATTCTTAAATTTCTTCAATAAATTTTTTCCTTGTTTCAGATTTTCAAAAACTAGAAAGAGAAGCTCGAATATGTCGCAAACTACAACATCCCAATATCGGCAAGTGATACTCTTCAGTTATTTCAATTGAAATTGTTCTTACAAAATCTTTAAATTTATTTCGATCAAATGACAAGCAAAATAGGTAATTTCAGTGCGATTACACGACAACATACAAGAAGAAGCTTTTCATTATCTTGTTTTCGATTTGTATGTTTTTTGCATATTCTTCATCACAAATTTATTTTCTTTTTTTTAATACTGACAAAACAGATGACAAATTGGCTTTCCAGTCGTTTTGGAAACAAGGCTTTTCAATGTTGTAAATTGGCTGTTAAGAGGATCTTTCCTGACGGTAATTCTTCGAACTTCCAACTCTCGTACTGCTTTAAATTCTTTTTCTTCAGAGTGACCGGCGGTGAACTGTTCGAAGACATAGTTGCCAGAGAGTTTTATAGTGAAGCCGATGCGAGGTAATAGCAGATAGATTGTTTTATTTTTGTCGAGTTTTGACAAACTGAAAATTTTCTCTACTCTCCAAAACTCTTCACTTTCATGTGAACTAATTATAAGAAAAAAAAAAAAGGAAAAAAAAACATTGTTAATCTTGCAAAAAATATTTCAGTCACTGTATCCAGCAAATTCTAGAATCAATCGCCTATTGCCACTTGAACAATGTGGTTCACAGAGATCTCAAGGTAATTTTAATAGAGAGAGTCTCAGATTATTTGACACCGGTTTCCTTAGGTAAATTTTTATAAACTAAGTGGTGGAAAAAATTTATCGCAAATTATAGGGACTTAAGCTTAGTGAAATGTCTTCAAGACTTCAAGTTTATTATCAAAAATGCATATATTGTACCTTTACATAATTTAGAAACAAAGTTTTCAGCCTGAAAATCTCTTACTTGCAAGCAAAGCAAAAGGTGCAGCAGTGAAATTAGCAGATTTCGGGCTTGCAATTGAAGTACAGGGAGATACGGAAGCATGGTTCGGTTTTGCAGGCACACCCGGTTATTTATCACCAGAAGTGCTCAAAAAGGATCCTTATGGAAAACCGGTTGATATTTGGGCATGCGGTATGTTAAACCTTTGATTTTGATGACACTCTTTTAATTGTTATATTATATTATGGTTTATTACCCTTGCAGGAGTTATCCTCTATATTCTTCTTGTTGGTTATCCACCGTTTTGGGACGAAGACCAACATCGCTTATATGCACAAATAAAAGCGGGTGCTTATGATGTAAGCACCTTTTTTTAAATTTTGAGATTGCAAGCTTCTAAAAAAGTTATTAACTGTATGGTAAAATCACTCAGCAGAAACAACTCATTTCTTGTACTTTACCTTCTCGAAATTTACTACAAAAATTTCTGTTGTTTTTATCTATGTTCAAGGATGTTTGAGTTGTTACTATGTTTGGTTTAACAGTTTTATGCTTTTATCTTTTTATTTCAGTGGTTGTCTTCCTTTTTAATGATTTGATTTTATGTGCAGTATCCAAGCCCTGAATGGGACACGGTTACTCCTGAAGCTAAGAATTTAATCGATAATATGTTAACGGTTAATCCAAAGAAACGAATAACTGCAGAACAAGCTTTAAAAGTTCCGTGGATTTGTGTAAGTTATCGATCTTTCAAAAAACATGCAGTTTTCCTTGCTGAACTGGTTTTGTTTCTTAGAAATATGTTTATGATGATGAGTAACTCTATGGTGATGAATAAATTTTCAACTATCAAGATAATTTTTATTTAGAATCGTGAACGTGTTGCCTCAGTAATACATCGCCAGGATACTGTGGATTGCTTGAAGAAATTCAATGCTAGGCGAAAACTAAAGGTATTTTTTAATTGAAATTTCACTCCGACAAATGAAATTCTTTCTTGCATGTAACTGGATTTTTTTTTTTCCTTTTTGGGTTTCTGTAGAAAGTTTGTTTTTACTTGAAGTTCTCGTGGAATTCTTTTTTCTTTGTTCGTTCTCACATTCCTCGTACTACTGTGTCGAGTGATCTATTTTCCGAAAAGTTATTTGCGCACACGCTATTACTAGCGCAAAATAGCTCACACCTTTCACTTTTACTCTCAAATATTTTCTCGTATTTCTCATTTACCTTTTCCTTCTAAATTTTCACATGTTAGAGAACTGATTCATGCACTTATCAGTGGTTCTTGTTATAATGCATATTGTGTACCAAACATTATCAGTAGCCAACCTTTACCTTTGGGGTCTTGATTATTTTTGAGAATCAAACTTTACTATTGGTTCTTGGTTTCAAATCTGAATTATTTTTGGAAAGTATTCAGTTTATCAAAGTTGATAGGTATAATAAATGTTTTGCGTAGAAATTTAAATTTGTTATTAATATAACACATTAGCCATGTTATTAATATAACACATTAACCATACCATTTTGTCAACTGCATGTTACTTATTGCAGTCCCTTATTCTAGCTTACTGATATAAGTGACTAATCTTATTTTCAATATTTTCTTGTTTTCACCCCATTTTTTGTTTTTTGCACAAATAGTAACAGCAAGCATCAAGTAAGCCCAAATTGGGTTATAGGCTTCTCTATTTTATGACAGATTTGAGCTCCATATCAGTAGTTTGTCACTTAAAGCCTCAGTTATACGGATGTGTTTATTTACCGAAAAAAGCGCAAGAACTTCCTACATTCACATTGCACTTCTCACACCCAAATTGTTTCTGCGTTTTTAGAACTTGAAATAATGTATGCCCACTTTATGATGACTTTTTTGCTACTTCCTGAACAGAACGTTCCATTAGCAAGCACATGGAAAGAATGCTTCCTTCGCTTGCATTTAATTCAAATTGTTTGTTACTGTTAAATGATAATACAAGTTTATCATATGGTTCATTGGTGTAATTTATTACTTATATTAGTCATAATGTAAACTAATTTGCTGCTTGTTCTCAGTTCTTGTTTTCAGTCACACAAATTCTGAAAACAACTGCTTGTTTTCAGAAATGACTACTCTGTCGTATGTGTCCGTTATTCCAACCTTTTGCTTCGGAATTGCTTTTTATCCCTGCTTTTCACTTGGGAAATTGTTCCTTCTATTTGAAATACTTTTAAAGCTTTATTATAAACAGTTTTTCCCATCAGTAATTTGCCTATTTCTGATCATTACGTAACTTGATTCCATATTTGTCAATGTTCCATTGCAAATCTTTATGCATTTTCGCATTATCATTGCTTGAATGTAAAGCATAAAGAATAGCTGAAATCAACTGCTGTTTATTGCAACTTCTTTTATTATAAATTCCAATGATTGATCTACATAAGTTCTATGTGAATGCTACCAATCTTACCGTCTTTAAGTAGTGATCAGTCAACTATTTCTTGGGTATAACCGAATCGCCTTTCTTTATAAAGAATTGGATTACATTACTAAGCAAGCGTGAAATGACTGAAATAGTGATATAATTTCAGGGTGCAATACTTACAACGATGATTGCTACACGAAATTTATCAAGTAAGTTCATCTACAGTACATTTTAAAATATTGAAATCTTAGTGTTGCAAATTTAAAAAATGTGTGCTCATCATTTTTTTCTTTTTTTTTGAATTTCAGACGAAGCATTTAAAGAGTCACGTAGATTAGATAGTCATTAGTCGCACTCCTATATTTTGATAGCTCGTTGTTTGTTATCATTAATTTGAAGTGGAAGTATAGAAATTCTATTTATCCTAAGGCTGCCTATTTTGGAGCAAGAATTAATACTTGCTGTGCATTTACGTAAAAGAGAGGAAAGGAGAGATGGATCGGTGAGAAGATTCATTATTATTTTATTTCACTTGTAACCTATTGAGTTCAGTATGCCAACCATTTCTTTTATCTATTCCTCATTGTAATTATTTTATAGCAAGGAGCAAGTTTTATAATTCATACATTCTATAAATGACTGTTGGAAATGAGATGTTAGAATACAGACAGAATTAATGCTAATGCTGTCATTATGACCGATCAATCCTAATTCGTTGTCGTATCCTGAATTTGTCATTTTTGATGGCGTATTGCATCAAATTTGAATTTGATTAGAAACAGTGGAAGCTATTAAAAGGTAAATTATTAACTAGTAATTCGTCTCCATCTTTTTAAATCGAAAAGCAATGTTAGTACCTTTCTACATGCGTTTATTTCCATTGGATTCGAACAAAGCGGGACACTTTCTGATGTTGTTTATAGTTTTCCGAGCGATGCTTTATGTCCTCATGCAATAAGGGCTTTCAAACATTTGGTCATTTGAAATAAAAAAAAAAGTGATGATTGGAAGCTTTCTAGTTTCTGGCTACTACACCTCTTTTTTTTTATTTAATCACTTTATCTGGAAAGTTTGGAACTTTGTTTAATTAGTGGTAATTACTGCATTTTTGAACTTCTGTTTATTTTTTAGTTTCCTTTAAAAAATCACATTAATGATTTTTCATCTAAAGACTAAAGACATTGCATATGATGTGTTTATAGGGAGTGTCCTTGTTTTGCACTAGTACTTCTTAACTTTTCTTGGGCAGGTTCAATTTTATGTTTTGACAATTTGTTGTCAGTCATAGAAAATTAATCAAAGTTTAGTTTCAGCCTCAAAATGAAGTTTTATCCATTTCAGAATATTTTCTCTTTTTCTTCGGACAGCTTAAAAATTTTTTTTGATTTTGTTATCTATCTTTTAAGAATATAAATAGACCAGAAATTGAAAATTTAAAAAAAGAAATTGCTGTTGGCGTTAAGAGTAAGCAAGCAAAAATGTTTCGGGTCTTTCCAAAATATCATTGTTTCTGGTTTTTTACATCTTACTTTATTTTGAGCAACAAATAGTATGATTTCATGTACCCAAGTTATAAGCCATAAGCGTAAGTCTAAGAATTATGTTACTAATAAATATTGGTTAATATGCAGATTCATGTGGTAATATATATTTGCTGTAACTGTTATTTTTTAATGTGAAATATGTTGCATTTTAAGCAGTCGTTAAAGTATTAATATGATTAGCGACTAAATCAAGATTATGAGCTCATGGGTTAATACCAATTTATTTCGTTCATTTTTGTCTTCGTTTAAAAAGTATATTCCAGCTTGACTGCTTCTTGTAGTACGCATCGTTTGTTTTCCCTATTTGACAGTAATATACTATAGGATGTAGTCAATAGAATATAACGCTGTGAATGGGATATAGTTTGGATACTAAGGTTGAATTTTTTACTGCTTTGAAATATTAAAAAATCCTGTTTAAATTTCAATGGTTAGATTTTGAATTTTAAGTGTGCTGACTAGGGAAACATTTCTTAATTTATATCTATCTAGCTGGGAGATAAGAAGTAAAATAGAAGTGCTAGTCATTGCTCAAGGACCGATCAACAGTGTTCATGGAATTAGTAAAGATATGCTGTCAATGCTACTCAGTTTTGAATCATATCATAATAAATCGGTAAATAAATCGGGCATTTGCTCGAAATGCCTTTATAATATGCAACAAAATAAGCGATATTGAAAATATCCCTCCATTTCATATGTAGCATGAAATGATAACCATGAATTCTTGGACAAACAATGGTACTCAACCATCAAAACTATTTTGGCCTCGATGGTTTAATAAATCCAGTTTATGTCTATTCTAATATATTGTGATGCATTTCTAACATTACTTTCTTATACCACTGTATGTCAGATTTTCAAATATATACTGTAAGTTTTTTTTTTTTTCATAATCATAATTGTAAGGGAACCTCGTTTTATATCTAATTTCTTCTCTCAGAGTTATTCGTCTTTGTGTGTTTTAAAAATCAGGAATTTTAAGAATAACAAGAAGTGGTCGAAATTTGAATTAAATTGATTTGGCATTAGTAATTAGTTTATGTACTTTGAGTGGTTAATGTGAAATGTAAGTTATGAATATATTCAAAGTTATGCTATGAAACAGCTTTTGGAAGCAGAATATATGGAGATAATTGTCTAGGTCTAATTTTTTTTTTCTCATCTTCCGTACTTAAATTTTTGTTTATGACTTTTTTCCAATATAACTCTTTTGCAGTGAAGTAAAAAGTTATGCTGGAAAACTCGAATGTGAATTTACCTAGATTTATTATTAGTGTAACTAATATGTTTCTCTGTGCAATGGAATAATAGCACTTTGCAGCAGTTTTGATAAGATCCTTCTAAATTTTGAAAAGGGAGGTGCTGCTCTTCTAATTGATGACACCACAATATGGGTATTTTCTTTGAGTGAAGCTGTAGCAACAGAAAGAGCAAAAGTATCACTGTTCATTTTGTGCAGCAGTTGGAGCATTTTATTTCGAATTCTTTGAGCTCGTTTCCACCAATGTTTTACATTTTTGTTTTTGTTCTGGAGCATTTAACACAGCTATGGCCTCTTCTGCTCTTTGCTTTCACTTCCATTGCTGTATGCCACTTAGCAGCTAAATATACCAGTATTAGTGGCAATACAGTTACGGCAGCATTAACAACAGCCCATACACTCAGCAGTTCTACCATCAACAGCGGTAAATTAGGTAAAGAGCTTATCGGAGAACAATACTGTGCTCCAGGAAAATTGCCACGTTTTGAATTCATTCACCCACCGGTTACCGTCATAAATAATAATACATCATTTGGTGAGTATCACAAATTATTGTATCTTTTTATATCGGTTATAAGTATATCCGATCAAAATCGTAGAGTATGAAATACCCTTCGCTTCACTGATTAGAAAGCATTATAGTTCTGATTATGAAAGTAGTGTCTTCGTTTTAATATGACATGAAATTCTTTAGTAGTTTTGTTTGCAAAGCTGTCTTTCTTTTGAGATAGATGGAGCGCTTTGTTTTTGATTGAATGTACATGCAGACTCGTTCCCGCACTTCTGTAAATTAAACTCTATTGCAAGTTTTCTTAACATACAATTAATGTAATGAAAGGATGGAGACTCTGTGCAAAAACGATATGGTTTTTAATTGACTTTGGTTCATTGCTATTATTCTTAAACAGTTTACCTTTCTATTTTTCTAATTTCTAGTGCTCGTCGGTTGTTTCTTTCAGTTTGTGAATAAATTGCATAAAAAACATCAGTGCAACCTGTCAACCTGTCAATTTTTGAGAATATCACAACACTGATGAGATTCGAGATTAAGATAATAAGATGTAGATTAATGAAAAATGTTATAATTTTAGTATTCAGTGTTATGCAGTTTGTTCTATTTTACATTCCCAAAATGATCTCAAGCTTAGTGCTTAATATCAACTCAGAAAATTGGAGTTTTTTTTCTGGAATTTCTAATTATATGTCCATTTTAAGGTCGTAATTTACTCAATAAAAAGGAAGCACCACCGAGTACCATAAAAGAATCATCGGAATCATCACAAACAATTGACGATCAGGATTCTGACAAAGGTATTGTACCTTTAAATCCGTATTTTTCAAACTTGTACATAGTTTTCAGAAGAAAGAAATGTCACTTTTTTTTCACTATTTATCTAAGCTTCTTCCCAAAGATCATAATAGTCCGTGAAGAATTTAGTGTTGAGATTGTGAAAAAGTCGTGAAACTGCTGCATTTTTGCACCTCTTGTTCAAGGCGTTTAAAATTAACTACATTCTGTAATAAACGATGCTTCTTATCAGTGGCATCTGCTAAGAAATTGTCAGTAGCTGGTTTTCTGCTTTTATGACTTGTCTTGCAAGGACCATATTGTTAACTCGCCGACAGTAAATAAATTTTTCAAATCTGTAACTAAAAGGATCAGTGACTTTCTCTCAAAAAAATCATCGAGTTCGGTCTTCCTTATTCTTTGTAAATAAGATGGGTAACATCAGGAGAAAAGTAACCAGTGACTATATTTGAGTACCGTCATATAATGCATGTGTTTGTTAGACTGCTAATAATTTTCTGATAACTTTTTTTGTGATTATTCCTTTATGACAACGCTAAAACTAAACGGCGTAGAGATGTAAGGTACCGGAATTGCGTAGAATTGCGTGTTTCTTTTTTATTTCGATGGTTGAGGTTCTTCAACTGGTTTTAATAATATGTTACGGTTCTTCCATAGATCGGTATGACTAAGTTTAGGAATTCAGGTAGTCTTACCTTATTCTGGATTCTTCCCTGATTTAAGTCTTAGCATATGTGTACGACATTTCAGGGTAATAACAATTTTGGGCGATAATGGATTCCATTTTATTAACAATAGATTTCTCACAAGCTGATTATACATCCTTTGCTCAAACGCTTATTTCATCACTTAATATTGCAGTCTTAGTTCGCTTGAGAAAGCTATCAATAAGTTAAGCAGCAGTTACACTGGCTTTTTCAGTTCATCTTCTGAAATCAGCTAATGGAACACTTAACTGCTGAATAAGAATATTTTCGGCCTAGAATTCGATTTAAATTAGCATCTGTCCCACCGACCATTAAAAAATGGGCCATTAGGGAGCTCCGACGAACTTCATTTGATTATTTCCACTGCTCAGTTGCACTTCCAACATGAACACACAGTACTTGTTGATCCCTAGGAAGACCGAGTATTTTGGTAAGTGACATCTGCTGAATATCAGTCATGGAAACCAAGTCGTTTTCCACTTATTAAATTGCTGGTACTTACACTTCCTATAATTTTTATTAGATACTTTGAAACTGCCTTGTGCATACTTCTGTATGAACACGTAGTTAAGGGTATTTAAAAGATAAATTTAGCTTGTAAATATATGGCTTGCAAGTTTACAGCTGTACATTTAAGTGGAGCATTTTATTTTATTTTTACAAAAATTCTTGTAAAAGTTCCTTATCTTACCAGTTTATGCGAACTTTTTTCGTCCCATTTTTAATGCTCCGCTGTATTATTTCGGCAAGGGATGAGTTCATCAAGTATTAACTTAATATTTTAAAAAATTTACACCTTACTTTTCAGCAATTTTCTTCTCCCTTTCTTCACTTCCTTTTCCACTCTTCGCCTCGCCACTTCATATCAGTGAAGATTGATTTACCATTTTCAGCTTTTAGAAGTTTTCTGCATCTTTAGATGGTCACATTCTCGTTGTTAGGAGCTTTATTTTTGCTTTGAGAAATAGTCTTCATTTCCTCTAAACAATTTTCTGTATTTTACAAGAAACCAGCAGATTAGCTGCAACTGTGATGCTGCTTTTATTAAATTAAAAAAAAAGGTCCAATTTCACACAGTTGAAAATGTCATAATTTAAGTATTTAGTTATGATTGAAAATTTTTTGAAAGAAAAAGCACCTGTTTCACGTACTTATTTGTTTGTCTGCCACAGCGGGAAAGACGCTGAGCCACGAGAATACGGTTGTACGAGTGGATACGACCCTTAAACAGCAGCGAAAGGCGGCTGGAATAAGCAGCAATATGGGCAGCCCATTTCCAGGTTCGCCCCTATAAATATAATTTATTTGTTAGCCAGTTAGGAGCTTGTTGGTTGCATGATTATAATGACGGACTTATTTGCATGTTTTCTCTTCGTTATAAATATTTAGATGCTTCCTATCGGAACTTATCACCACAAAATACAATTCTTAGAATATTTGTGATCAGTTTTTTCTTATGTTTCGAAATCTGCTTAAGACCATCATTTGCAATTATTAATAGCGCAGTGTGTTATGATTCACTTTCAGCTGCGACTCCCTGAATGCATGAACTGGTTTTCTGAAAATAAGTTTTGGTTTAGTCTTCCTACAAATTAATGAATATGATGGGAAAAAGCAACATAAAATGAATGGCGCTGCGTTTCAATAAAATATAAGCTTCTCTCACTGCGAATACATATTGTTGAAGCACAAAGCGAACAGAGTATTGAATGATGTCTTTGAGTTCCATAATGGAATTAAGAAGAGGAAGTCTACAGTTGAGCCCAAGCTAATTACTCTTCCTTTCAACTGTTGGAATGGTCAGAGAGTTTTGGAATCTTACTACTTTTTTCACAGTAATATCGTTATGTTTATTTTTTCAGGAATTCATTTCTTCAACAATCTTCAAGAATCATATTTTCGTGCTTCTGAGTTAATTCTCTTCCATTCTTGTTTCATGTCACCATTTTTTTCTATTTCATTGCTGTTGTAGTTCACATACTGATATATAATAAATTTGTCTATCTGGAGTTGTTGTCAGTGGTCGTTTTCCTTTATGGTTTCCGCATCTTTGTTTTCATCATCTAATTAGTTGTATTGTTGGCCACTCGGAAGTTTCAGTATTTCTGAACAGAATTTACCATCTCACAGAGCAACAGCTTCACTTATGCTTCTAGTATTGGCAGTCTGTTGGAGCGCTTATTCCTTTTTAGATGATGGATTTTCACTCTCTCCTCCCTGGTTTTGCTTTCTCTCATAATTTAACACCAGCGAGAAAATGCCTGGCAGCACATTAGCATTAGCGATACAGCTGGATCCTCGAGGTGCGTAATTTACATTGATTTCTGTTTATTTCTCCGGTTACCACTATTACGAAGCTGAATGCTATTATTTATTTACACATTTGTTTTACTTCATAAGTTTACGGTGAAATTTGAAACATTTTCTATAGATTAGCGTTACTCTTGCAAACTTTATGATGAATAAAGCAGTTAAAATCTTTTTTCGAGTCTTTACGAGTAGTCGTAACCATATAAAATAGTTTCCAATTTTCAAATTGATCACAGCTTGCATTTCCATCTCTTTCATTAACGTAATTTTTTTTGTTCGAAACTTTTATTCTTTATCTCCACTTCATTTTCTTCTATTTTCAGTTTCGTATTATCAGAAATCTTCATCCTTGTATAATAAAAGTTCTGGTAAGATACCTGAGAACACAAGCATTGCGTTCATTTATTAAAGTAATAAATTCTAGTAACAAAGTCCACTATAATGATTTTTTTAGAGGCACTTTTGAAAGATTTTGATGTAGCAAGCATTTCTTATTGTTACATTTGTTCCTGATTCGCATGTGCTTTTTAAAAAAAATTGCATGTTTTTGCATGTGCTTTTTTAAATATAAAAGAACTAATAGCCTATGGATGAAATTAAATTAGCTACAGTGTCCTAAAAATATGTGACCCTTAATTTGTTATAGTTTTTCCTGCTGTAAGATGTAGAAATTCTCTGGTATTTCGTGAGTCTTTTTCAAACAACTTCATTGCAATGTATGATCATTACATTGAGGTAGCTAACAACTGGATAATCCTCATAACCTTGTTATGCATAAAGAAGACTCAAGAAGATTTTTAAAAATTTTTGTTTATATGCGATCTTTACGAAGGATTAGTTCATAAATTAATTTTATTAGAAAGCAATTTTGCATTCTATTCCATAAATTAATGATCTGATACCATAGATAACTGAAAGTGCTGAAAATTGCTATCTTGATTTGCCCTTATATGATTGTTTGGCAGGATTTTTTGCGATAGTTTCGAATCGCTTATTTTTCGGACACTGTGAAATATTATTTCTTTGATTTAAAATTTAAAAAAATGTTCTAATGCACGCCATATTATTAAATGAACAAGATGGCTTTTTCATTTCTGCAGCTAACGCATATAATTTTTTGTTGTGGAAAGGTCAATTTATCAAAAAGATCAGTTAATTAAAATTACTTAAAACTGAATAAATTACTAATAAAATGAATAAATAGTTAATAAGAAGATCAAATGAGTGGGTAATCCTGGTAATGAGTAAGCAAACGTAACGCGGTATTGTGTTGAAAATCCTTGTTCATGCTTAGCCTTGTTAGAGAATAATTATTGGATTTGTTATGGACTGAATGGATAAGTATTATTTAACTTTAGATTAATATTAAAAACAGTGATAAAATGCATGATATTGTTAGCAGCAGATGCAAATCATACTCATTTGATTGCCAAGTATTAATTTCAATTTAAGAATGACAACATCCATCAGAAATTCTTTTCTTAAATGGAATTTTAGTGCTGTTTATATTAGTTAATGTTGATCATAAAAGTCGTTTACAAAAAAGTTCAATTCTAGTTAAAATTTATTTAGTGATGACAGAAATATTAAAACGTCCTTTCCTTGGCTTTTTTTTATTGAATACTAGTGAAAAGTAAAGCAGTATGCTTTCATATATTTGATATATTTCGTATCATCCCTGAATTTCTTTGGTTTTTAGTATATATTTGCATTAAATTTTCTGTTTGAGTAGAAAGTGTAGTTTGTTTATCGCGTTTTATGATTTTACCCTTTTTTCAAATCATCAGCATTCCTTCATTAGTCACAAACATACGTTGTATCATTTTGATTTTGCATTATTTTTTCTTAAAATTTCTTGGAATTCTTCTGTTCATAAATCTTCGCTTTATTTTAAATGCGTTTAAAGTAAATTTCTTTTCGTTCTTACAGTTCAGAAACAGGAGATTGTTCGTGTAACACAGCAACTATTGGACGCTATTTCATGTAAAGATTACGAGTCCTACTCGTGAGTTCCATAGTTATTTTACAATTTTTCATTTGAGTTCATTGAATGTACGCTTACATTCAGTTGAATTTTCATTGTTATCCAATTCTCCAGATGGCAGAAAATTTTTCATACCATAATTTTCAGCTATTAGAGTAGAAGATGTCTTTCACTTGTTATTTTTCAATATGTATGAGTTACGATCGTGCTTAAACTGGATTAAAAAAAAGCTGTTATGTTAAATTTAAGACTTCACAGCTGATATCTATGACGAATAATTTTATTTCATTAAAAGCAATTGTCAAAAATTTCAGAAGACTCTGTGACCCATCGATGACATGTTTTGAGCCAGAAGCACTTGGTAATCTAATTGAAGGAATGGATTTCCACAAATTTTATTTTGATAATAGTAAGTCATCTTTTAAATCATAATGTTGACTTTGGTGCCTACATTTAGCTGCCGAAGGAACACTTTGTGTTTAGCAGGCAGTTTTATTTTTCTGGTTTTGAATTCAGTGAATTTAAGTTTCCTATTAAATTTAGTGCTCAATTCTCATAACTTTTCACATCCTCACATTTCTCACAGCATTTTTTTGAAAATTATGCTGAAAGGAAAGGATGATATTATTGGGTATTGTTAAAATTCTAAGCTTACTTGATTGGCTGTTCTATCAGTTCTGAAATTTATGTTTTTTGATTGAAAATAATTTAGATAGCGGAACACGCGGGCCAAAAATCCATACGACATTGCTCAATCCGAATGTGCACCTAATGGGTGATGAAGGCGCATGTATCGCTTACATTCGTTTAACGCAGTTCATTGATAAGTAAGCTTATATCTCTACAAGCAGTAATTTTCATAAACGAAATTTCAACCTTTTGTTTACATTTCTTACATGGTTCACTGCTTGCTTATTTTTTGATAAACTAATCTAAGCATTGGAATAGATAGAGTTAGTGTTGCACTTTCAGGAATGGTGATGCCCGATCAAGGCAGGCACAAGAAACACGCGTGTGGCATAAACGTAATGGACGAGGTTGGGTATGCGTTCATGTTCATCGGACCGGTGCACCATCTTCCGTAACTACAGCTGACTGTCATTTCTAGCTTACATCTTGTTAAAAAATTTTCTTTTGGTTCTAAAAAAAATGCTTAGGCATGTTGAACTGTGGAAGCTTATCCGAAAATCTTGTCCAACTGAAGCAATAATATAAATCGGCTTTTAAGAACTCTGGGAATCAATAATGTTGTAAAAATCAATTAAATCTTATTAGGATCGATAAAACAGATTTCAAAGCGAAACGAGGAGACCTACGGTCATTCTTGTGCTTTTTTATTAATTCCAGGTTTTAGTTTATTGTATTTTTAGTTGCTTCGCACAGTGGTATAATTGTAGTTAATGCGCATAGTTATTGTACACTAAGTCTATGCGCACTTTCTTGCTGTGCAATACCATGAATTATTAACAGAGCTTTGAACTACTGACTATCACTAATCGATCGCTTCGTTTAATTTGTTGTTTAAAATTAAAAACATGCAAACTTTTAGCAGCAAAATATTTGGGCATTTCCAGTGTTAATACAAATGACGACATTTGTTTCTTGTTCTCTGGAATTTACCCAAAAGTTTTGCTGTGTAAAGAGTTTATATATATATTTTCATTTATGCGAGATCAGATTCGGCCGATTGGAATTCTATTAGTGCATATATGCTCACTGCCCTACAAAAACGCTGAAAGTATTATTTTTGAGTTAGATTTTTATTGTATTTCGTTTTTTTCACTTTTTCTTTAATTATATCTTCAATTCATATTTCCAATCAGAATTGCTGCAGTATACGTATACGGTACCATTCCGAAACTGATAGTATTTTTTCCCACTTTCGCTGTGTTGGTCCACTTTCTGGTTTTTTTTTTTAATTAATTTTTTTTTTCATTTACTTTAAAAGTATCAAGTGAAAGACCGGTGTTTTCTGCTGAAGATATCGGGTGGTATTGATTCACATGTTTAAGCTCATCCAATTCAACGATGTATAAGCAAATTTATTTCATGTTGTTGAAATCTTCTCCAATAAGAAAATTTTTTTTCTGTGCCTCTTGCTCTGTTTGCTTTCAGAATAAGCTATTTCTCCAAATAATTTTCTAAAGCCGTAAAGTGCCTAAAATGTACTGCACTGTCCTACCTAGTAAATTTTATTGTATACTGTTAACAACCTTCGCTAATTAATCCGTTGCTTACATTTAGGATTTTCATCTGCAGAGTTATTAAGTTTGAAAATTTTTAGTATGATATTGATATCTTACTCATGTTTCTATCATATAGTTTGGCACATGGTAACGGCTTAGAAATTTTCCTTTAGAGTTCGCTTATAAATTTGTATACACCGGTGGATATATTTATGCTTAGTAATGAATGCATAGATGGTGTTTTTTTTTTGATGGTGTTTTTTTTTAATGTGACATTCCTTTATTTTTTATACTTTCGATTTTTAAAGTTTGAGGTTTCAAATTCTCTACATTTAAATAACCTATGCGGAAAAGATATCTTACTGCATAGTTCGCTTTTTTTCCATTTTCTCTCCAGTTTTATTCGTTTTTCTTTACCTTTCTTCATCATTATCATTATTTGTGACATATATATATTTTATTTGCCCTTTGATCATCACATTATTTGGCAACTTTCTGCTTAAATTAACGGGATATTCATTATAGTCACTTATGCCATGATAGGTGCAATCATTTTTAATACGTTTATTCATGTTTTGGCCATTGTGATGATGAAAGAAAAACACTGCTGTATTTTTATTACACTGCATTCTTTCGAATAAATTTATCTCTCCTTAAGTTGTTATTTTTCAGTAGTTTCGAAGATTAGCTCATTACCGCTCTTTTTATAATAAAGTTTCATTTATCAACCGTGGAAACTTATTTTCTCGCAAAACAAACAAAGCGTCAGCAATACATGTTCAAAGTTATTGGGATGGAAAATCACAGATGCGGACTATCATGATTCGATTGAAGTCCGGTTCACTGTTTCTGATTTGTGAATAAGATATACATAGAATGGTTATATTTGTTATGGATAATTACAATGAATTGTAGTAGAAATTTGCACTATAACTTAGAGAAGAAAAGAGATATAAGCAGTTATGTACGTGTGTACTTCCCATTTAAAGTGAGACACCTGAGTGAAATCTTATGGATTAATTCATCAGTCTCCTCTCATATGCATACTACTTTCATTTTTAAAATAACTCTTTAGTGCTATAATGGCAAACAAACTAAGATGGGAAGTTATTTCTTCAAAAAACCATAGAAGAATGAATGAAGATATTATTAAAAGTAGGAGGAGAAATGTGTTATTCGTAGGGAAGGAAGATAAGTGTCTATGCATCTATGAGCAGGAATTCATCTCTGTAGCAATTATAAAATTATTCAAAGTAATACCTCTTCACGATATTGACGTGGAAACCACGGTGCCAGTGGAGCATACTGACAATCGATGTTTTGTTTTTTTCTCTTTCGACAAATGCGATTTCAGTGCTGTTATGATCGGCATTGAGGTGTTATTATTGCGTATTTATTGCCTGGTGTTTCAGTTTGGAATTTATTGAACCCTTATTGTTCTTTAATCATCCATCATTAACTTCATCATTTTCTCAAAGTGTTTAATATTGAAGTAACTACTCCTTTCATGCATTACTGATGAATGTTTTATGCTGAAATTCCCTATTTCTGCATTTATTCACCACTTTTGGTTTATCATTTAACGTTTTTTCATAGCCGTGCATTACAGCTACAATATGATTGTGTCGATATTTGTATTCTTTCTTTTTTTTAGTCGATTTACTGATTGGAAATCTATCACGCCTAACCGTTGATCTTCCCGTTATGATTTCGTGCAATTTCAAATCACCCATATTTTCACTGAAAAAAAATACAGAATAGATGGCTAATTTTACTCTCATCTTTAACGGTTTTTACATACATTTAGTTTTCTTTAGTATTCAAGAGAAGTATATCATTATAATCATATCTTTACAAATTCAATCTTTTTAACCGTTGTTGTGATATTTTCTCTCGGATTGTTAGACTAGCCAGAAAATTGGAGATTTTTCAAAAGTGACAAGGAATTGTAGTCTTCCTACAATTTCTCCATGCCAGAAGCAGATTTAACTATTTTCATTTGCGATTTCTCATTGTCATTTTGTCACTGTTTAATCTCCAAATCTCGAGCATATCTCTGTACTCTTAAAAATAGGTCACGCTGAACAGTTTTTCTACTTTAACACCGGCAATCCGTGTTAACATTTGTTAATACTTTTTTCATCTTTCATTATCAATAAACGTCCTATCAATTACTTTGCGGCTGAATATTAAAATGTTTTGTTATTCTAAGGCATAAGCTGTCACCACTTCTTAACTAAAATCCATATGGTTCATTTATTAGGATTGACCATTTAACGATATCCATGACCTTTTCATCAGATGGTATGGCATGCTTTTCAATCTGATCTATTTCATATTTCGAGTCTTCTAATCCATTTAGTGTTGTTTTCTTTGCACGTTTTAGGTAATTTTTCCAAGTGTTCAAGTATGTTTTATGTCAAAATATGCTGTGTTTATTACATAAGCAGTATTTTGAATTTTCTATGCTCGTTTCTTGTTTGTTTTAAGACATTCCATCCTGTCTGTATTGAATCACAACTTAGTTTCCATCACAGTTATCTATTTGCGGTCTCCATGATTTCATCTACTGTTTTTCTTCCCCTATGATATTTTGCTTCCACTCTTTTTCTTATTTCACTGATTTCAATATTCGTTTTTCAAATGATTTGATCAAAGCATAGAGTTCTCCTCTTTTTTTTTTCCATTGCTGTGTGTTTCCTTTATTTGTTTATTTGACAGTGCAATTCTGCCTGTAACCGTGGTATTCCGTTGTGATCAGAGAAATACTGTTTATTATAATGAAGTCGCTTCGTATCAGATAATCCTCATTCTTTTGTATCCAATAGTTCCCATAACCTTCAACTTTTTTTTTGTGCTGATATGAGTGAGCCGTAGTAATCTTTTGATAACAATTTTCAATGCTTCCTTAATTCGAATTCATGTCCATTGTACTCTCTTCTAATTTCTGGTCGTTATTGTTACACATATCCCAATGTGATTGTTGACATTATCTTTACATTCATCCTTTTCTTCTTTGCTTTTCGTGATCAGTTTTTAATTCAATTATCCTGCTTCACTTTCTCCCTTCACTTATTGTCCTCGCTTCTATTTCATCACAGTTTTTTTGTTACTCATCCTCAATATGTTCCTTCTTACCTTTCCCATCCGTCTCCCACTTCAAAATGGGAGAATACTGTCCATCTTTGATCAACAAATTGTTAGTCATTTATGCCCAGTTCAGGACTGACAATTATTTTCACTTTCTTTCTCTGGATTTTATGAGTTACTTGTTTACTTTTTCCTTCAGTTACTGTTCAGTTTTGCACACGAATGAATTAGTGAAGTTATTACAAGCCTGTTGAAGCAACCTTCTTTAGCAGAGAATCAGCTCGGAGAAAAGCACACATCCATTAAGTGATTTTTATTAGCTCTACCAGAGTGTAGCAGGAAGTAATCCAGTTCAAGTAAAAATATTCAGGAAGACCAATCTGCTACAGTTTTACAGCAAAAGCCTAATGTTAATTAGCATCCAACAGTTAAATCTTTTTTTTAGTGAGATGGGAGGAACAAAGTTTTTCAGGATTGTAAAAAGGATAAGATCAGGTCGCCAAACGACAAATTGCTCAACGACCCATCCCTCCCTACAGCTTTTAGGAATAAGTTTCACCTATTATTAATTTAAAGGATGAATGATGATTCATATATAGCCTCAAACAGATATTCCTTCCCATATTTGATTTCCAATAACAAACTGCATCCTTCATGGGAATGATAGAACCAGGGACCGAAACTAAGTTTTGATCTCTTGAGATCTAAATACCTTGACGAATTGTTGTGGAAGGAATGTGCGTCGGAGCTATCTATGTTAACAGCGTGTGTGGTAAAGGATTGCGCGAATCTTGGTGGTTCCGAGTAGAACTGCTCGGATTCCCTTATTTCTTTTCGGATTTCATCAAAAATCTACAATCACATTCTAAAACATAATATTCCGCAGATGATTGGAACTTTTGTGAACAGAAACGGTCAGGTAAAAGCTGTTGAATGCAGTGCTACTTCCCTGATTAACTATATCTCTGGTCGATGTTGTCGAGCATTTGTCGTCCATAACTGTATTTTCGTTTCCTTCCAGGAAAAATTTTTTTTAAGAAAAGCATCATTTTCGTTTTTTCCAAATGAAGGGAGCTTCCTGAATTGTCTTTTAAAATTATCCATAAGTTCTTTCAAAGGAACCTAATAAACAGATATACTCATTTGCCATCGCTAATTTCAGCATTTTTGGATTCGAAATCGGAGCACATAATGTTTGTTACTTGTTCTGTGTTTAATAAAAACCATCATATTAGAAAGTTTTTATTTAATAGTTCGGTTATAGAAGTTCTGTTTGCTAGCTACACTACGGTTTTTTATATTTTACAAAAAGGGAATGCTGACAAATTTACTCAAAGATTGCAAATAATTTCCTACTACTTATATGAAACTTATTAGCTTTATGTTTTGAATAACTTTGTGTTTTAAAACACTGTCGTGATTTCGATAACCCTGCAGAGCAACTTAATTTTACTCATGACTTATTGATTATCCTTTCTAAAATTCTTTCTGTGATTAAGTAATAAATAATTCAGATGTGATGAAAGATTGAAATATCTGGAATGATGTGAGATGTGGAACTTTATGAGACTCTAATTTCTACTTAATTCATAATTCATAAATATCATCAACTTAATTGCTGACATAAAATAGATGCAACTTACACCTAAAACTTCTTATAAAAATTTATAACGCAAATTTAAGGGCCTCATCACTTTATTATAAAGTTTTTATAGAAGTTGAAATCTATGTGTTCATTGCATAATTCAATTGATGTTTGCATTACATTTCAACGGTACAAAAGCATAGGTATGCATTATTAATTACTGTGTGATCTTATGTGAAACATTCTACTTCATAAGCCACAATTTGCAAATCAACTAGTGTTCTAAAACAATAAAACCATTTTGATGTACAATTGAAAATTATTATGTGAAATGCATACATATTTCCTTATTCTTATTCGAACAGACTGAAGAAATATAAACCGTCCGGTATAAGTTATTGAACGTAAGCAACCATATTTTTACATCAGCGAATCGATATGCAAATTTTCGAACACATATAGAATCGGTACTTTAAGTGAGAAAGTAGATGAGTAAGTTTCTGAAAATTTTGAATTTTTTATCGAATTCACTTTATCTATTCCACCCACAAATGTCTTGTGTTTTGTGAACAGATCGATAGATGATAATGGTAGTAGTGATGCTTGGTACTGTATGAAGTGGACAAGTCGGTTGTTCCAATGACAATGATGCGTGTGATGCTACATTTTCGTTCGTATCGATTTAGTTCACTAGTTGGATTATTCTCTAATCATTTTCTCCTATTTTATTTAACTTGTTGAAGTGATGTGTATAGATGATACTAAAGTAGATAGCTTAATGAACACATTAGAAATGCTGAATTGGTTTTTTCCTCAGATTCGAGGAGCTTTAGATATTTCACATGTTATGGGGATGAATGAGGATTGCAGGCATAATATGATGTGTTTTTCAAGTGAGTTGTCTTCTTTGTTTAGTGACTCACTTTTTCACGGTACAGATGATTCTTTAGCTCTGTTAAGGCATTTAAGCATCTGGATAGAGAGAATACAAACAGTTTTATTTTAATTACTTATGCGTTCCCAAAATCATTATTTTGTATCATTTCATAAATTCATTGAAAGCATTCGAGTATTAACCATTTGTTTGATCAGCTGGCTGAATGAATTAATGAAAGTGCTATTACTTTCATTTTATATTATATTCTTGAAAAACATAATTTGTGTTAGTGCAGGAATCAGAATTGAATGAGAAAACCGAATTGGAAATGCAAATTGATGTGATGATGGCTACTAGTTCGGAAGCTGAGGCGACGATGAATGCCGCACGTCAAATCATTAATAATATTGAAAAGTTTGTTTGTTTTCATGTTATATTATGATTATTATACCTCTTTTTTTAGATCTCTTAAAATCATTTTACAGTTACAATAGACGAATATTATTAAAATCGATAGATTCTGCATTTTATGTTCTTAATAAATAAAGTTGCTTTGGCATTTTTCCTTAACAGTTCCTCTTCCTTGTCTTCTTTCACTTATAAGTTTTCCCTTAATCAAAGAGCTGATAAAATAATTGTTACCAAAAGTGGACTGAAGAAAAAAAAACTTCGCGCCCTAGAACACTCACGATTCACGTGTTAATATCATTTAATGTCATAAGCTTATGAGGGTGTTCTCGAGCTCTAATTCCAGTGATTCTTCTTGTTCATAACTATTTTTGGCTAAACTTAACTTGCTTCGCTGACCAACAAGAAGATGCTTTCAATTATGAAACCCAACTTCACCTATTCTCGGTTTTCATACATTGTAATCTGAAGAAACTACTTTCTAATTCTAAACACTTCGCAAACTGCATTTTTGTTCACACATGGTATCGAAATCTTCATCCTAGTCATCGGCTTACAACAAGTATAATTAACTAAAACTGAACTGCGATCATTTTTAGCTTTAACTATTTTGCACATATGCTGCCACATAACTGTACATCAGCATTCTGAATGAAGCACCTCCACCAGCAATAATTTTAACTGATATACCTCTTAAGTTTCTCGATGGTCTACCATGGCGAAGAGATGTCCCATATATTATTAACATTGCGAATTATACTACTAAGGATGAGTTAGACCTCAAATGAGAATTTTGAAGTTTTCAAACAGAATTGATGCTAATGTATATTGATTATTATTTATCATCTGCGTACTTTTGCGCTAGTCTCAAAAGATGTTTTCGAATTATATTATAGTTTTAATCTTTTCATCGCTTGAGAATTAGTATCCTTCATAATCTTAGATATGGGCATAGCCTTCCGATTGGAATGCACAGCAGTGGTTCACTTTTAAATGCAAACAACAATGATGTTGTTGAAAAATCTGTTCTGGAACGACTTGCTTCCACTTCCGATGGAAATGTTAGCATTTCATCATCATTTTTTTAATCAGTTAGCTTCATTTTTTTTTTTTTTTTTGAAAATGAATAGCATATATTGTTAAGGACTTGGACAATGCCGAGAAGTTGGAAAGGGGTACTAGGACAGAATCCAGTACTAATGTTACCATTAGTCGGATTCTTCAGCAGTTGGAACAGTTGATCCGATCCGATGACTGGGTTAATAAAGAAGTAAAAGATTATGGCGAAAGTCCACACCCTTCAGAATTTCCCAAAAAGAGGTTATTTTCAAATCATCTCGTAACACTTATTTGTTTTCTATTGCTTTGTAAATTCTTCCTGTTTTCTTGATGGGATATTGTGTCTATAGCTTCGGTAATTCTGAGTGTTTGTCGACGCAACATAAGTGACGCGCAATAAGCCTTGTAAATCGATAACGCTACTAAACAATTTTTATTTGAGTGAATGACGGACAGCAACTGGGCATAAGTAACTAGTGAATCGAACATAAGCAGACAAACTATAGAAAAAATGAGCCAAATCTAACGGGCAAAAATGCAGTTAGCGCCCGAACATAGAGAGGCTTTTAATCGAAAAGGGTCTTTTGTCTTTTTCATGTCTTTTGTTTCAAGTTAGAAGAAAGCGAATCAACAATGGGTGATTTGACCCGAAATTTATGCATCATGTTCCAAACTCTGTTTTTATTGACATGCATAGATCAAAATCCATGATCTGATGGAGTTACTGTACAATATTATGCATGAGACTTCCACTGATATTTGTGCTGAGTACATTGCTGACTTTCTCAGTAATATTTGCAAGAAATAAACATTTATAATAGCGTATAAGCACTACATCAACTGTGTTCAATCATGAACTAGGAAAGTATTTTGGTGAATGCTTCCATTATGCTTTTCCACTTTGATATGTCCATTTATAAAATGAATTTAGGGCTTATATTGTCAGTTCACATTTATCAGAATTGGGACGTACGTTGATTGTCAGTTCATCCCTTAAAAGTTACATTAATCTGCTGGGAACCCATCACAGACAATGTATTGCTTCGTGGCTTTACGGTAGCACATCGCAAACACTCAGCACACTCTTCCGTACATCCAACAGCAATTTGCATTGCTCCGAGCATGGCTCATCATTCTTAAATTCGATCAAAGCAGAAATTGGTTTGTTCATTCCTGTACTTCAAATTCATGTCTAAATTGCTTAATGTTATGGACTCATTACTGATAACTAGAAAAAAATAAATTCAGTACTAAGGTAGAAATTAAATTCTTTTTCTTTCTGAATGCTTAACAATGAATTAAACTTAGTTGTTGAGTTGGCAAAGTTTAAGTATTGAAGTGTAACGAAGTTTTTTCTAACAAAGTTTGATCTTTAGGTCATGCAATTCGTCTTGCACTGTATGATGCGTACGGTCCCGATTACTGCTCGAAAGGATGGCGCGCTTTTCTTCAGATGGTTGGTTTTGGTATATTAAACTAATAAGAAATTCAAGTCTTTTGTTAAAAGGACGAGAAGTCTTCATGTTGGGTAACTTACTTGAATCATTAGAGTATCAAAATGCAAATTTAAACTTCCAGTTGCGCTTGGTAAATTTAAACAATAATGCATGGAATTGCTTATTGGGATTACTTTTGAGGGTTCACCAGTGGTGTATATTTCACCTGCTTTGCATATCGACCTTTCTTCATACCTCTCCACTGAATACTTGATTGGAGACATTGTCATTTTGAAGAAATCAGATGGAGATTTTTCTGACATTGAAGGACGAATTGTATGAGCTTTATTTACTCCTTGTTCTTATGTAATATTTAAATCTAGCGATTCGGAAACCTAAGTTTTAAGGTTCAGATGAAGATTTTGATAAACGATTGCATCACATTTCGTACAGACTGTAAAATTTTCAGTCAAATTTGAATATTTTTCAGTCCGAAATTTGAAGTCGTCTAGAGCTCAAAGCTACATTAAGCATTGCTAGTCTGGAAATTTGTAAAACATCCTTTCCCATCCTGAATGGTTGATACCAGGATCACATCGCATTCGAAAAACAGCTCGATGAGGACATTGCTGCTGGAAAAAAGCCGCTGATGGTGATTGGAGTTGTTGGGTCATCAATCCTTGGGCAGAATGATATCATAAGTCGTCTTTTGGAAATAAGGAAATCCAAGGCTGATTTCTGGATACATGTCATTGGACAGGTCTGTATTTTTTCTGACTTCCAAGCTTTTTTTTTCTTTTGATCACTTCGTTTTTTAGGGTTTGGCTGCATTGTGTCTAAAGGAACCACCCGAAGTGCTGGTACATGTGTTATCACAAGTGGACAGTTTCACGGCTCCACTTGCGTTGTGGCTTGGTATACCGGCGGCGCCGATCATTGTAGGTGTCTTTGAGTAAATTTGTTCTCAAAATATAGAAATTCAAGTGTTTTATTATTTTGTATTTCATCATATGCCATACTGAAACATTTTAAAAACCTATTAAAAATAAGTTCACTAAATTTAAGTTACGTCATCACCATGTTTCAAAATGGTAATCATAACATTTACGTCTGATAAGCTCTCTTTTCCAGACACTGCATCGATCCGTTGATAATCAGAAGCCGTTATACCATGAAAAACTGGCTGTATTGCCATGGTGGATCGCATATCACCATTTGACACCTTCCAAGATTACTGACACTATTGAGAACGCTTACCTCTTGGTTCGAATTAATTTTATATATTCGTGGGATAGAATTTTTACACTTACGTTCTGCAACATAATTTTTTGTCGGATTCGGGAATCCTTTTTGATATTGCAGAGCAGAGTAATGCTTCGAGGTCTGGCAGCTTTTCCGCAGATCGAGATTCTCGGTTTTGAGAATCCTGTCGAATTTGCAAATCATGTTTACAAAAGCATCTGTACATCTCCCACTGTTCTGATTTTCAAGTACAGATGTCCAAATCTGGTTCTGGAACAGGTGAAAAAAGTTAGTTTCACAACTCTCAGTGAAATTACTCCTTCACCTTACCACAAAACTTTCGTAAGGAAGTTTCAGAATGTTCTTGATTGTAGTGCAGTCAGTGATGAAATTAACCACAGTCATTAAGTATTTCGAGAACAAGTGTCCAGCAATTACATTAGATTGTAAAATAAAATTTTCTTTCGCTATTATTTTACAGCATTTTGAAGTGTAAAATATACTTAAAGTTATATCTTTTTTCTTGGATATATCTCTTACTTAATACTACGAAGGAGATCTTTTTCTGAATAAATTATTCCAAATAGGAGTTTTAGAGCACTTCATATGTATTTCTTTCTTAGTTCTTTATTAAAATTTGCTCGTAGCTATACTAAAGTTTTTGAGATCATTTATTCGATCCCATATGTAAATAAATTTCTTGGTTTACTTCCAGTTTAATTTTTTTTCTCTCACCTCCTCTCCCACACCTTTCTCTTTCCACAAAAAAAAAAAAAAAAAAAAAAATGGCGTCATTTTTTTTCTTACACTGGTGAGAAGATAAAATGTTGCACAGCGTTGTGCCATCACGACCTTTCCTTTTTTTTTTCTCAGAGAATTTTAAGTTTCCATATGAATCATATCTCTCGTTATTAACCAATGTATAATAAGTCACAGGAGAAGATTCCCGGATGTAATAGCCGAAGTTCTTCAAATACTTTAACAAACGATTATGTGTATTCGTGCGATGCTAATAATACATTTGTTGATAATTTCTTTTCAACATCAGATTACGATATCGACAAGCTAGAATATGCTGATTCATTGAATTTTTGGGTAGTTTTTCCAATCCGTCTTCTTATTATTTTGTTGTCACAGTGTTTTTGTGGCCTCAAAGTTTCTGTTGGATTTCGTATTCCCTTTAAAATGAGTCTTTGGAATCTGTATCTCTTACTTTATAATATTTTAGCTTAGTCAAGGACTGATATCGGATTGCGGCGAACTGGGGCTGCAAATGGTTACGTTTGGTGACTCACATCGCTCTGCACTCCGTTTCTGCCCGCTAGAAAGCGCTGCTTGTTAGTTCCGTTTATTGAGAAATACTTTTATTAGGAAAATAATACTAAGCCTTTCTAATGAATTTAAAGAAAAGATAAAAACATGCCCATTATGGCATCTGTCTGCGAACCCTGACTGTAACCTAGATTTGATTTTTCTGCATTAAATGTTTATATTATTCTTTGTCATTTCAATATTTCTAAGCAAAAAATTACTTAACGACTTTTTTTACTAAATTCTTTTATTTTAAAGACTTTTTTTTTGTGGACCAATTTTCGCTTGATTGTTTGACTTCTTTGTTCATTTTTTTTCTAACGGCTCATATATTTTCATTGAACTGTACTCACATGGATCATGTACATAAGTTTATCAAGAAACTCTCCGATGCGCTGGCAATAATTGAATCGACTATTATTGCCAAAAAGCGTTTCAAGGAGATTGTATCGAAATATCCATCGTTGGGCTTAGCACCAGTTTATAAATGGGCTGGTATTGGAGCTGTCTGGTAATTCTTTTTAAAATATTGTTTATATATGTATGAATGATGTTCATTGTTGTTTCTGTACAGTGATATTATAACGATCAAATCAAGTAGGAAGTATAATTATTTCAATTTGAATTTTTCAGAGCAAATTTTCGAATCAATATTGAAAATAACCAGCCAAGACCGACTTTTTTTATAGAACAATCAGATTTAACTTAGCAATTTTTTCTCGTCATCCAGTATTGTTTTATTAGTATATCTTTACTTCTAGTTTTTATTTGCAGTTATATACCTTCCATTGTGAGGGAAACTCCAATGAATGAGTGGAATAAAAAACAGCGTCAGCAGGTTTTTCATCTTCCTTTTCTGAGGATGTCTCTTTTGTATGAAAAAGATCTCGGGTATTAGTGATGCTGAAGTATTGAGTGACAAGTTTCATATAATTTTCGCTATAGGTGTGTCATTTGAATTTGGAACTGGTACAGTCTTTGCGATCCGTAGACACAGCATTCTCTGCTGGCGAAAGTCCTGCTTATAGTGTTTCATGTGTTAAATTCGGTATGCTTTCTAATGACAAAGATCTCACTGATCTAGTTCATTTGGTAGCTGAGCGTGGAAGAGAAATTGAACAGTCACAAAAGGTAAGATCATTAACGAGTGAGGGTTTGTTTTTTGATTGACAATGCTCATCCATACAAATTCAACAACTTGGCTACTTCATAGATGTTTCCATTATTCAATTACGGCTTCATAACCTGCTTTATGTTGTTCTAATTGGTGAAAGTCATTCTTGCTATGTGTTTTTACGTACTCAAATATTTTCAGTTAATCAATCCCGCTAATGAGCGGTTTATTAAATTCCTTGGGTTTATTTGCATGACTGAGGTATAAAATGGCGTACTTTGTTCTGATTTACCTACACTTAAATTTGAATTGCAGTACATGGAAAGTTTGGCTGAAATGATACGTCAGGGAATCGAGACAGCAAACAAAGATTTGAAACGGGAGAATGATGAACGATTTATGCAAGAAGTAATATGATTCATACATACTTCAGATTTCGAAATTGTTAATAGCACACATCAGATGCTGAAAACAAAGCTACATGACATTCAGTGCAATTCCGCTCCGGGAAACTTCATGCTGTACACTGGAAATGATCGAGAACCAGTTTATCTACCAGTCATTTACTTTAACTCGCCTGAAATTTTAGCTCAGTGGTTGCATAATGAATTAAAAAAATTTGTTGCAGGGTATGATGAGGCAAATTCCGTTAATGAGTTCATTGGTTAACTGGTTCTCACCACTGGACAAGGGCTTGCAAGGCATTAAGGGTCGTTCTTTCGACTTGAAAACTGGTAATACAACTTTACGCACTCTTTAAAACGCCTTTTTTTCACAAACAGTGAACACATGATTTTTTTTCTTCATGACTTTAAGATACTTATTGTTTAAAGGACAAATTCAATCAACGGAAGTTTATTATAAACACCGGCTTATGAATCGTTCAGATGCTATTTCTCAAAATCCTCACAACCCGGTCGCGAAGACTTCCATTGAGTCAACAAAAAAGCAAAGTGTTAATTCCAGCAGGGATACCATTTAACGTGATATTGCACTGGGGAATGAAACAGAAAATGATATTGGTTCAAGTGGTTGTTCTATTCCATCTTTTACGACTTCACTTTTTTAGTCTATCTTTACTTTTCCATCTTGAACGGTGTAAAAATTTCCAAAAATGTTCTTCCCAGTTAAAATTTTTTAGAAAACACAAAAACTGTTCAGTTACCGTTTGAAGATAATTTTCCCCTTCCGGAATCATTTTCAAAAGGGCATGTAGTTTGAATCTTCTTCCCAGGTGATACTTAATTCGATGGTTTGCAGAAAGTATCTGGATAGCAAAACTAATTTATACAATTTTTTTTTTCTTTTTCTGTTTCATGAAGAAATAACACCGAGAATTGGATGTTTCAAGTTTGTTCCATCTTCCCTTTAGGTGAAGTGAGAAAGTAAGCTCCGTTACCACTAATCGTTATGTATGCTTTAAAATTAACTCTCCACTTCTGGTCACTTTACAAGCTGTTTCCAGAAATTTGCGCAACTAATTTTATGACCTACATAACGAAAAGCTATTTATTATATCCTTAGGTGTGTGGTAACACATGAATGGTTATGGTATTTACCAGCTGTGATAGCATGGTTCGATATTTTCTCTTGATCTGTGCATGTCTAATATTTTTGGTAGTAGTAATGCGTCTAGCATAGAAATAATGGACGTGAAGGTTGCAGTGAGATGAACCGGTTACATAAGACTTAGTGGCATGAGTCTATGAGCAAAATTTATCCCACTGTATGCAAAAGATGGGAAAAGTCCACTCGTCTTCCTTTTAAATCTTGATTAGGCTAATTTTTGGCCGTATTTTAATACCCAGTAAAAACGCAGCCTTCACTACATTTCGAGTCTCCTAAACAAATTTTGGGACGGGCCCAAAACTATAGAAAGCGTTGATTCCCAGTTCTAGCTTATAAATCTGTCTGCCTTTGCGTCTTAATGCAATATCCTGAAGTCTTGAATGATTCTTAATTATGCTTATGGTGTGTGATAATGGTTATGATGACGTAATCCGCTGTTTCAATTAGTTCTTGTAAAACTTGGGAGCCAGAATCATTCCTTCGTCTTCGTGTTTAATTGATACATATTCACGGATTTACTGCTTGGGTGGTAAGGAAACGAGCATAAAAGACCAGCGTCCACTAAAGAAACATTTCCTTGATATCAATAGATTGTCCAAGTCTCTCTGCACCGGAGTGTTGTTCTCTTTAAGCTTAAAGTGTAATGATTCCCTTCGGGAGACAAACATCCAGAGCATCATCCCCTAGTGGATGTTAAAAAGTGAAGTAACCCAATGTAGAAGCAAACTCCAATGCAAACGACATCCTAAACGTATCATCCTTGTTTACCAAATACGTCTATCGCAAATGGAGATGAAAGCAGTGTTCCGCCGGACTCATTCTGTCCAAATGCGCAATTAGTAAAAGTTGATTACGCCTATTCGGCATTCATGAATTGGCATTTCAAATGCATTAGAAAATGCTTTTTTCAAATTTTTTTAAACCTGCGACGAACTATTCATGAGTCAGGACTCTTCTCCGGAAATGATTAGTAGTAACACACGGACGTATTCCGACCTGCATGTAACATGTACATGTAATGTAAATTAATCCCCTTTGTAAGTCAAAACAACATCACAATGGACACTGAGTAAAAATGTTTTTACCAAAGCAAAACCCCTATTATATACCCTGACTTCACATCAACTAGATCTCTCTCGAGGTGCTTCTTTAAGTCATATGAACATAACAAATGAGACAAAGCGCGAAAGATCTGGTACCACAGGAATTATGTTGATGGAAAAAGCACAAAGTAAAAGCATTTCAATTACTTTACATGCAGGGTGCTCATTCTCATTCTAGATATACTGCCCAAGTCCATGAAATCTCACTATTTTCCTAAGAACACCTGTTATATTTCTACGAATTTGTCCATTTTAACGCTATAAGAGAGATCCAATGCAACCGCATACTGATAGACAAAAAGGATCGACTTTATAATGGACCTCGTCGATAAAACGAACAAACAATGACAACACAACATGAGATAACTCAACTAGACTAGAATTTTGACATTAAACTGTAGACAATTCTACTTCTACTTCACATATGTAATTTGAAGTCTCCATTGCTATTGAAATCGGTAATATTGAGACGTCGATGTTCCTGCAATACTGATCTTCGCTGAATCCAGTTTTAATAACTGTCAAAATCCCCAGCTTGAAGCAGAATAATCGGGAACTTTCGAATTTCGGCATTAATTACTATCTTATCCAAACATCATTTTCATGGGTTCAGGATTACTCACCATTCACACATTCCAGAAGTTCCAAACTAGTAATCCAAATCAATATGAATAGGATAAAATGGAGGCGTAGCCATTACAGTTCGAAATCAGCATATTATTTATTCGATTACCTTCTGCTTCGTATGTACTTTTGTATGTCGCTTGCGCTCATCTGAACGAGCAAACTTTCGTCCACAAATATCACAGCTAAACGGTTTTTCACCTGTATGAGTTCGTACATGCGTTGTTAAATGATCACTTCGTGAAAATGCTCGCATACATATGCGACACTGTAATTATAACTTCAGATCTCTGGAATTACAAAGGATGTAATCATAATTTTAATTTTCTTATCTTTACGAATTGTTTTCAAGCACCAAATGACTTCAAGATTCGTCACTCCAAGCAATCGTGAATCACGTCCTTCTCACGATTATAAGTTTTAGAGAAATTTGAAAACAAAGTTAATCGGACTTGCATCCTCTAGTCCAAACAAACTCCAATGAGAGTAACGGGTAATTTATTTTCGTTTTGCCACTCGATTCTAGCTGAATTTTAAAACCTATTTTCTGATGACCCATATCAGAAAAAATCCGAACAATCCAAGTCGTTTCATGAAATTTCACCTGAAAAGGCTTTTGTCCTGTATGGATCCTGATATGCCTTGTCAGTTCATCTGACCTCGAGAAACGTCGATCACAGTTCTCTATTGGACATTTGTATGGTCGTTCATGTGACGACGGTTTAAGAAGACGGTTAGAACATTTGCTGATTTTCACCGGGCTAGCTATAAATACAGCCGATCAAAGTGGTACTATATGTTCAAAGATAACCGATGAGAGAAACAAATATAATAAAGAACAGATATAAAAATAGAAACGGGTATAACAATCTTCTTCTAATTCCGATTTTTTGGTTAATCTCAAGATGAAAAATCAACTTAATAAGTAATTACTCTGTGAAATCTGCGATCCTGATTGAGCAAAAGATAAAGGCGCCTGGTAATACTCGTCTGCTGGCTCTGATTTTGGTTGAAAGTCCGACCTGAAATTAGATTAAGTCAACACAATGCTTAACGTTGGTTCCACAAACAAAGTCAGAAAATAGTAAGTCTAAAAGCAATAAACAGTTTCAACTCTCTCAACTAAAATATGAATTTAAGTAAACAAACCGATAAATATCTGATGGCTCGCTGATTGGAACCTGGCTTTGGAGTGTCCGGGAAGGACATGGTACACCATTGCAATTCAAGAAATTGCACGCTTGATAAGTTCGTTGCGTACTTGTAGAATTCGACTGGTTGCTATTTTGGGTTTCTACTGGACTCACTGTACAGGTAATGTTCTGGTGGATCTACAGAAAAAGCACCAAAATTTTCAGGATGAATCATTGATTAATAATAAACTTTTATATATGTTCTGCACCAATCCATACCGTGTTATTTTATATTGCTTTTCACAAATTTCTATAATCTAAAGTTTGAGATATCAGAAATACATGTGGTATAATCGCAATATAATTTGTAACAAGGCCTAAAACTACATGAGAAAACCAGATGAGATCTGCTCGTTCATCGATTTATGGAAAGAATGAACTCTAACATGATATTTATGTTGATGCATTTGAACTGATGCAGAAGTCAATTCCGCGGCACCAGCTGACACAACTGGTCTAATTTTGACATTCTGCTGTTGAGTGCAGTGTGTTACGGAACAAACAGAATTAGGTGCAGTAGATGAACTGAATCCGTTCTGTCGTACACCAGATGGTCCAGGTGGAGGTGTTGTGCGTCGATTCCCACCAGCACGACCGATCTATTTTCAAAATTTTGACTCGAGATTTTCGTAAATCAAGTTCATCTTGTGTGAGTACAGTGTGCATCGTGCGTGAAAAAAAGCACCGTCACTTTGAATTAGAAATATGTTTCAAACTATTTAAATCACTAACTACTTGAATTAGTAATGTGACAGACATAAACAGAACATTAACTTCATTACGCAAACTCAAAATTTCGCGGATTTTCCATTTAACTAATACAAAATAATCAGAAAGAGGTCAAATTTTGAGAAATCGCATAACTGCTAACTGCGTTTAAGGAAAGCCAAGTTTTTCATAACATAATTTATTTTAACGGATTAAACTTTCTTTAAAGTCAAATTTGTCTTTGTAAAATATTTTATCTAACGAACAAATTAAAGCACAATTCGCACTTACTTGTATATAATCTGAAAGAACTTGGTGATTGTCAGAGACCGATGAAACGGAAGGCTGAGAGGTAGATAACTGCTGAATTCCAGCAACTGGCAAATTTGATATATCTTTGTTATCTTGAAATACCTGAAAGGTTCCTTCTTTTTTGTATGATTCCATAAATTATAAGTAGTTCAAAAATTAAACACGAAAAAATTACCTTAAAGAGGTCGGATGTATCGGCAGCATTAGATGCTTTTGCATTCGGGTCGAGCACCAATAAAGGTAAATTTGTATTTGTCTGCTGGGATTTAGTGATGGATTGCAAAAAATGCTCAACCAGGGGGGAAAATTGGAACATTGTTGCACTTAAACCTGGAATATAACTGAAAATTTACCACTAGTAATAAGAATTCAATAATTTCGTGGAACTAGAATACTGAACACTGCAGATAATGGTCACACTATCTTCTAAAAATGGACAGAGGTTCAGAGCATGCAAAAGAAAAGACTGAAGCAACGCACATACTCAAAATCGAAGATAGAATAACCGGTATTGTTCTTTATTGCACTTTAATTAACTCTTATTAATTCAGTATGCAAAACTGTTCAATACATCAGCAACAATATGAAACATAAAGATATCCAATTCATATGCAATTTGAACCAATACTGCTTCAAGAGAAAAATTAAACGTCTAATTTCGTCAACCGAAGAAATTTTATTTAGCATTAAACAGAATGAATCTGACAAAATTCATACCGGGTGAATTAACACTTTGTGAACCGAATGTACTAATACTTGTACTGATGCTTCCTTTGAAGGTGATCGTAGCCTTTTGATCTCTAACATCATTTTGAGCTCCATTCGGTCCAATTGTTGTACCGCCTGAATTTCAGATTACCTAATATTTCATATTCTTAACCATAAACTGGAGCTACAATTCAAAAAGAAAACTCACAAATTAAGGCTATGAAATACCTGGTGTCACATTGGCTATCGACGACTGCGGCAAGACTGTTGAAATCTCAATGTTTGCTGGAAAGTTAGAATGTAAGATACAGTTATAAAAAATTCACTTCACTATAATCAAAAGAAAAGAAAACAAGACAATTAAGTAAAAAGATACCGGTGAGGAGTGGTTCGTGTTCACCGAAGAAAGCTTGTGTGTGAATATTTGGTGTAGAGAAGTTATTTAAGCTGAGTTTGGGAGTGATGAGTTCGTCAACATGTGTGCCGGCAGAAAACGGTCCTTTAGTGGGTGAACCAAGCACAGTTGGAGTTTTCAGTGTTACATCTGTATTGCCCAAAGCGGTTGGTGTCTTCAAACTATCATTATCATTTAAACTTAGCCCCACAGATTCCGTATTCGAATTGTTTAACGACACTACCGGCTTACTTTGTCCAGCACGCCCTGAAATATATATCTTGTGTGACTAACTTACTAATATATCCTGTACCGACACAGATCAGAAGTAACTTCAGTTTTCCAAATGTTTGCTAAATTTCTTTATTTCTTATCATCGTACCTATTTCTCCCTCTCCATCTGTCAGCTGAATCCTAATATTTGTTTCTGACTTTGTTCTTTATCAGATGGTAATAGTAGTTCCAAGAGATCGAGGAAGAATATAAGACACCTCGTAATGATGGAACTGAGAGTTTTGCATCTACCGATGAAGCACTGGTTGATGGTCCTGGTAATGACACATTGTCTTTTCCTGATTGCATCGGCATCCTTGCCGATGAGGTTATTAACTGACTCATCCTCGCAGCTAAAAATAAGTGAGAAATCATGTTATATAGCATCAAACTATTGTTCAATGTAGTTCAACCCAGCTGTTGGCTTCAACTAAAACTCCATTAATCTTCTACCAAAACTGTCAATTTCTAATCCAGCAGTCACCAAATCTTACTTTTTCAGGCAAAAAGAGGCATGTTCATAAAATCACATTCAACTGACACGTTCAAGATGCCCACCTCGAAAATTTTCAAAATTTTCGGGAAATTTCCGAAGATGCTAACAATTTATTTCTTTCTTATGCCCTATAGTGCAGGTATTGTGATGATGTGGTCGGTAGCACCACACATATATAGGATCTTGAAAATGGATTCATCTTGCAATAGTGCACAACAAAATCACTGATTTCAACAAACATAACAATTTCAACATAATCAAAACAAAATAAAAATAGGCATAGTTTAGACGCTGAAAAACTCAACTACCCGCAAATTTTGTCTTTAAAAACTGCATACTTAACGGCATATTCATGTTTTCCGCGAAAAAGTACTGTTTAAAACAGCATGGTGGAAAATAAGAAACGGGTGCTCCACAACTCGCAAACGCCATATATGACATAAATACGAAACATTTACCAAAACCTACAACCCAGACTTTTTTTATATTGTATATATCAATCGGGCTTTGATCGAAGATTCGTGTCTTAAAAATTCTGTTAAGAGTATTTTCACTGGCAAGATCTACGCAAATTACTATCTCAAGAAAACAGCTATATTTTACTGCTAGTTCCAAGCTTAAGAAAGCCAATTTTCAATTCTAGTCACAAGCTTTTACCATGATTCCCACTCTCTATGCAAATTTAAGACGTCACATGTCAGATTTAACTTCACCTTATCCTAAATAATCGAAAACCCAGGAGGATATACAGCGAAATCGCATAAGGGCAGTTCTGGTAATCAAGATCAGATTGAAATGCAAGTTGTTTAAAAAGAGATGATTGAAACCATCAGAACCTATCAAACAAATAGGCTTTAGCTATGAAGATGAATCTTCAACCTAGTCCAAAGCAAAAGTCTTACAAATGAAGAATATGTTTATATACAAATAAGTAATAAATAAATCATAATAAACCAGGCATAGGAAGGTCAAGTGAATGTAACGATCACTAACCTTAGGTGATATTAAAGTTAAAGGAATAGAGGTAAATGATCACAGTAAGATGTAAACAGAACCGCACGCTAACACACAGTTTGCATAAAATTTATTATTAACAAGCAGTCGTTCAAAATGGAAAGCAAACAATATTCATATGATTCGAAATGCGAAGTCATTCCAGATCGACTCGATATGTTAGCAATGTCAACTTCTCATTACAACCTTATTATACGCTAATGCGTCACACAAGTAATAGCGTTACGAAGTGGAACTGCGACAAATTAACCAGAATATATATTTAAACTGAGTATAAGCTATTGAGTTAAATATGGATGGAAATATGATGAACTGAAGAAGGCGGCAAACACATCCTTTTAAAACTGAAAAGATGAAAATAATTGATTAAAAGAGGGGAGAAAGCTGTAGAGACTGGTTTGAAAAACCACTTTAATATTACCTTATTACTTAGTAGAGGAGAGTAGAACAAACTGATTAATTGCATGCTTTTTTCCATAGTAAAATTTGCATACAGATGAGGAGTTTGAAAACGCAGTAATGAGTAACAACTGATACGGTAAGGGAAAGCTTCGAGAGTGATGAAAACGGAGGTGTAATTCGAAAAGATGACCTCGCTAAAGGACAACTATCGTGAGTTCACGAGCAACACGCACTTTGCGAATCATAGCAGAACGAATGTGTGGGCGAGTTGAGAAGGAGGAAGAAGGCTACCAGTACACTGTTGTGGGCAAACCAGTGGCGTATCAGGAGAGGTAGGTAGACGGACGGAAGGGTGAATCGAAGTAATAATAACACGGTCTCGATACAGAGTGAGAGTGTCTGGGAGAAAAGGGAAGCAGAGTGCTTCCTTCCTCTGTTGAAGAAAAGCTACAATCCCCTTCCCACTGAAGCGTTGATGTTGAAGAGGGAAGAGTGCGCAAAAGTGAGGGGACAGACAGTCGGACACGCCACCTACTGTCTCACTGCTACACAATCCCTACGCACACACATCGCCACACGCTCATGGACAGGCAGGAATGCAGTGCACGTGCGCACATCTGGCAGGTATTGAATAAGACACACTCTCTTGAAAGTTGTCATTAAGTGTCCTTTATGCTTTGCTCTACAATAACGACAGACATGAGCGCTTGATTCATTTTGCCATAAGCGTGAAAAGTATTCGCGGTTTTCTCAGCATTATGTGCTATCTATCCTCGATGAGTAGCTGACTGGCTAGCCTAAACTCTAACATAAAGGAAGTGCGATAAGTAAGTTGCACATGGAAGAACGCTCGGGGATTTAATAACGCTTCTACGCTGAAGAGCAATGTGCTGTGTGTGGGTGATGATGGGTGAGTAGATGAATATGTAGGCGTCGAGGAAGAGAGAGTGAGACTCGTAGGAGGTTACGATAGATGAGAAGAAAAGAAGAGAGATCACAGATCATTTTCTGACTCCTACGTTATCTGCCTACTCATAATATTTATCTCAGATGGATGAGATAGCACGTAAATATTTGAAGTGATTATACTGGGAAGGTTAGCACATTAGCAGCACTGTCACACTAAGAAGGAAGGTGCATTTGTGTAGTAAGTGGACAGTGGACATGGCCGACCGATGCACAAAGCATTGGCTGTTTCATAAATGGAGACATCGCCCGATTTTTCCTGCGTATGTTACCGTAAGTCTCTTTCGCTGTTAACTTTCTAACTCGAAAATGAAAGAGTAGATGAGTATTGGTAAATTAATAAAACTGAATTAAGTAGCCGTGAAGGTCTCTGCTTTGAAAATAGCAAGTTTATTTCAAAAGTGAACTTTACGGGTAGGGAAGAATTGCCACCAATCAATGATATGTTGGAAGCGTTTGCTGCATTTGCGATGACACCACATAGGTAATTAATTTTAGATCGCTCAGATCAGAAATGAGCGAGACCTTCACTCTTAGGCAAAATGCAGTGAAATTTGATTGCAAAAACATCAGTATCATTATAATTTTGATTAGATGATTTAGTTTTTAAGACATAGGCAGTGGATAGATTAAACGGCATGGCGTGAAGGTCGATGCTGTCAAGCGCATTGGATCTGCAGGCGTCCTGCATTAATGAACAAGCAGTTAACGAAATTTAGTACAGTGCGGTGTACTTCGCCTTTGCTCTACCTTGAAATTCACAGTTACTTCATCCATCAGCCAAAATGACATTAAAATTTCTACGGAAATCACTTTTTTAATTCATAGGTGAAAAATGGCTTCAAATAACAGGGATACTGGTTTCTGCGGAGATGCATCAGATGCTTCAAGGTTGAATGATTGTTGTTAGTTAATCAGAGTTTAAGACTGCTCAATTTTTATGAAAGAAGAGATAGGACAGGATCTTACAACTAGTTCCAATCCGTACAGATGTATCAGCAGTGCAAACCAAACAGAATGAACAAAATTTTAATGAAATAAAATTGTACAGAAATTTCTGAAATAACTGTTTCCAAAAGTCTGCCATGCCATGTAAAATCATATTAACAGTTTGAGACCAAATTTCTTAAAAATTGCATAGTCCTGCACACTTTCGGAAAATCACGCCATATGTTGCATTTGAAAGGGCCTTAATGAGACGTTACCTCCTAGATGTCCTTGGTAATTTTGATATCGATTTGTTTCCCACTTATGATTCAGATAATGTTGCCGTAATTTCACTCTTTTTTCACTTCTTTTTTTCCATTTCGCATCTTCAATGATCCTTGCAAAAGATTTTTATTTATACATAAATTTCCCTTCCAAATTCCATCGAGTTGAGTGAATTTCAAAGTTGGATTTTTACCATTTTGAAGCATTATTGAATTTGTATTTCCATCACTATTCATCAATACTCTTATTATAATTTTCAGCGAATTCATTCCCGTGATTCCAACTTCATGTTAAAATTATGCAACTTGAAATCTTTATGACACATCAATGTAAAAATTTGAGGAGGCAAATTAATGACTACTTTAAAGTTGCCTGTATAATGTTCTTCATTTGTGTGTCACTGCCAGGAAGTTGCGGGCATATGATAAAATGTACGGCATTTAATTTATATGGACAAATATAAACACGCGAAAACATGCATTCATTCAGAGACCACTGGGACAAAACAAATATAACAAGGCTCATTTCACATTGCGACACGCCGTACTTTACGTTGAATGGATTTGAAAATTGTTTTGTGCTCTCAACAGCGGAACACTTTACAAGAAATAGATCTCATCTAAGTGAAGTAAATCAAAATTTATCATCGATGGAATGTTCCCTTACTCATTAATTTAGGAAAATAAACAAAGACAAAGCAAAGACAAAACTACTTTCAGTTTTCTGAAATCTTCGCAGCGAAAATGCATGACTTCTCTGACTCACCTAGTTATTTCACTTCCGTAATATTCACTAAATATAGATTTTTGAAAGGATAATTTTTGGTTTCATAGAGAAAAATAAAACCCATATTTTATTGTTTGATTTATAAAAATTAATTAAAATGGAATTTAACTGTAACTGAAACAGTTTTAACTACAATAGCACCAATTAAACAAAGGGAAATGGCCATTCCTGAAAATTGATTACTAGGATATTTTTTGGAATACCGGTGGTAAAATAAAACATTGATGAAGAAAAGAATAGGAAAAATAAGTAAATAAGTGTCCGAAGAATAGCTATCTTTCCATTCAGGCTATGAGACTCCGCTGTCTTAGCATGTCAACTAGGCAGGAACCGGATTTATATAAGATGGTAGATCTATCCTACTTTCAGTAAATATTTGTGATCTTCCTATATCAGAACAATTTTTACCGAATTGTTCTATTTCATTGTCGTTCAAATATTTCTTCAGCTTTCTCTACAATGCAAGAAGTATACCAGTTGACAATTGTCTTACGTATATATGTTTGAAAATCCGAATTATAATATGTCAAAATAAAATTATGTTAATTCAGAAAAATAAAGATTTTCTTAACTGAAAACTGTTTGAAAAAATGCCCCAATTTCACATAGGAAATCATTTATCAAATATTTTGAATTGTACCTGAACTTATTTGCACTATTACAGTTTGTTAGCAAAATGTGTTGAAATTGTTCCCAATTAAATTTACAGAGTTATCAACTTCTTATTTAGTTGACCTCCTTTGCTGTTTCTGAACTTGTCACCTCCTCACTAGCTGTAAATTATTCATAAATTTGACAAGGCCTTCGTTTACTGATCTCCCTTCTGGCTAATGCTTACTATATGTAAGGATTGACAACTACTGTTGTCCAGCCCCATTCAATTAAAATCTTATTTGCTCTTCCTCTCCACTTCGTAAATAAATCTTACAAAATTATCAGTATATTGTTGGTATAAATTAATACTTATGTACCGTGGTTGTTACAACAGACCCCTTTTCAACACATTAAAACCTAAGAAAGATTCCTTAACAATGAACTACGACTATATATATATTTATTTATTTGTACTTATTTTAGTTAGTTATTCTTGTTAACCAGTTTTTTAAAAAAGTCAAATTATTGCATTTGTTCTAACAGTATATGTTTATAAAGCTATGGCTTAGCTTCATCATTCTCTTACAATCCAAGCCATAATGCTGGAATTCTCGAAACAGGTAGACTGGCTTTTTTCATTCCATACTTTCATTCAGTTGGTAAATAAATAAGTTTTTAAATTCTCCAAGTCAGTCCAATTGCATTCCTAAAACTCAATCAGACTTTTTTCCTGCTTCATACCAGTAATTAAAAATAATTTCAAATAATGTGAACACAATTTCTAGCAATTTAATTAGTGGTGAGTGAATAGTATGTATTAATGAATTAATTTCTTATGATTCGTTGTTTTTTTCATAATTTTTTATTCGTATACTATGCCTTTTTGACTTTTTTCAATTTTGCCCTTCAAACTTTGGGAAGCGGAGTTTGGAAATGAACAAATTCAGACTTACATAGAGTTTAATTTCAGCATATTGTAATTAAAGTCGACTGAATTCAATGATCAGGAACAGTAGAAATCTATTTGTTTCAACATTATTGTTTTAATTCATATCTATTTCTCACATTTCGCGATATCTCATAAGATTTGCAACGTTGAATTGTATATTATTTGTTTTATTGTATTTTCTCTAGCATTTCGAAGTGGCCAGGCATACTAATTCTTAACACAAAAGAAAATTGTGAAAACATTCAAAATGTTGTAAATGTAAAATTATGATCTTTTTTCGTTTTAAGTTCCATCTTAGGTCAAAGATCAGAATGAAGTTGTTGCATTACTTTGCTGACTTTGGATAAGATTATATGCAAAATTAAAGCTGACAATGGCTGATGGATTCATTGTTTTTTTTTTTTGTTGCTCAGGTAATTTATTTATATAAACTATTGCCTATTGGAAACAGAATTATATTGTGTTGCATACTCTGTATTCGTTGGAAAAGTACTTTATAATTTCAATTTTTACGATTTTTACAATGTAACAAATGTTCCATTATTTTAAGTGGAAGGATTGATCATTTTGATGTTAATCTAAACCAAACTTTACTCTTTCTTGCTTTTCTTAATCATTTGAACTACGTACGAAAACAAACACTGAGATTCTTTCGCTTTTAAACAATTTTAAATTTCATTTTTTCTTGTTTTTTGCGATAGGAACAATTTTATTTCAAACAGGCAAATTAGGAGACTAAATCTAGAACTTCATCCACCTTACACCGTCGGTTTATTTATGTATCTAACATTGGTAGGCTGTAACTGGAAGTAAGGCTATGTCAAGGAAATAAGACATAAAACACTGTTGTTTACTGTGATTTAGTTGGTTCCTTCTTATTATTATCGTAATTTTTTTCTGAAATTCTTTTGAATCTGTACTAGTATTTTCAATTGAACGACGTGTTTCACGTAATGTTGTCCACAGAAGTAATTGTTATAATGGTATACGCGTTTTCGACAACACTAGCATAAGTGTTTGATGAAAAAAAAGTTTATGTAGCAGTGTTTGATGACGCTAAAGTAATTCCATTATATGAATAGCAAGAAAGACGTTATTTAAGCTTTTAAACATTTAGTCATGTTGTAATTATTTGGAGCGAAATAGCGAATAAGAAATGTAGTACTCCGTGCTAAAAAGTTATGAAAGATAAGCAATATAGACATCAATTTGAATATTCTGGAAGAAAAAGTCAAAATTTCCTGAATCTGTGACGATATGCATTTACATCTAATCATCTAAGTCTTGGAAAAACTAATTTTATAATAAATCTGTGACCGATCTTATGTTGTCTTTTCCACTTTTTTTTCGTTTCTCCGTCCAAGTGTTCATTTCTTTCATCTTATTCTGATATTTTCAATGAAGTTACTTTATTGTCGAATCTATTAAATATTATTGAAGCATTTTGCATCTTAGAATATTTTATACGTCTCCTTTTATTACGGTCCATCTAATCCGTTGTTCAAAAAGTTCAAAATTTTCCTTCGAATATTTAAATACATCATAACTTTCCTGCAATGTATATTACAATATTCTCTTTGTAAATAATAGTGTTGTATCCCCATTTCTTTGAAAATTAAAAATTCAATATCGCTTGAAGATGAAACATAAAGTAATGAAAAAATGGTACCAAATTATCAATGCTCCAGTCGCGTTAAACGGTAATGAGTATGTTGGTAATACACTGTCATATTTAAACACTGTCTCAAGTGATATCTTCGTCTATGTGAGTGATTCAGAGAAGCTTCTGCAATATGAAACAACTTCGTGCTCCAACAGAAAACTCATGCGTTGGAGGTGTAAATGTCTAACACAACATCTCGAATTTCATAATTCCGATAGCGCTGGCTTAATTAACATCAAACAAATGTAAATCCATTTTGTTTTATCTCAAGCACTATTCTCTTGAATACGACAGAAACAATTGAATTAGGTAGATTTTCTTTTTGCCAAATAAGTGAATGTTTTAATTATCGAAGAAAGATATAACTAGCAGGAAAGATATTTGTAACTCCTGGCCTTTTCTGGCCGCATTCAACTTTTCTAAGGAATCTAATTAGAGATATTATTACCTAATGAATTCTGAAATGTTTGTTATCTTAGTTAGTTCAACATTCCACTTTACATTTCCTCCGGGAGGAATCTGTTTGTCCACTGCGTATGAATGACATATTTTGCTCTCTGACTATGTTTTTATTCGAATTAACTCTTAGCATTCTTTCATTAAGGATAAGAATACAACTTTCAATCAATTTTTGATAATCTCAAATGTCACTTCACTCCGTGATTCCCGAATCGTTTTTTCTTATTGGAATAACCTATAATTGGTCATGACGCCCTCCCTGAAAATATATGATGCAAATCTGGTTTCGCTCCGGACTGAGGCGATATATAACAGTATTGATAATAACCAGTTGTGTTCTTTCTGCTTCTTCTTTCAGTCCTTCTGCATTTATTGTTTTCTTCATTGTAAGTATAAATGAGAATATTGCGGGAAATCCATTGAAATCAATCAGTATGATGCTCTGTTATTAAAAGTCTTCAGGTAGAAGAATCATCCCTTACCAAAGTCAATTAGCGATGACAACTAAAAATATTCTCAGACTATTGCCAATTTCAGTATATACATATTTATACATTTCGGAACCTATTCATATTATTATTGGAATTTTTCCATTTCTATCATGCAGGTTACTTCTTTATTAATTCAAAATTTTATTTTCTTTGTACTTGCAAATCTTACTGCACTTGTATATTCAAATCACTTTCTGATATAAAAAAAGTCAAAAAATATGATGTATTCGAAGAGCATCGGACGAAGTTTGGAAATGTGCTATATTTAACAGTGAAATAAGAGTTATTGCAATATGATACATAAAATTTTAATTCAAGAAATAAAACTTTTTATCGGTAATCAGCTCCTTCCCTTTTCTGACAACAATCCGTGCAATATTGTGAAAAAAGTTATGAACAATAACCATCTCCAAGAGCAACTCTATTACATGTTTGTTCTTTTATTTTCAGATATCAAGGTTTAAAGTTAATTAATCCTTTACTAAAGGAATGGTAAACACTTGCAGCCTAATTAGCTAATGGATCAAGTGATGTGGTTTAATTTAAAGATGATAATACCTAGTAATTAATTGCAAATGTCACATCATTGCACGGTTATCAATAAATATGAAATGGTGATATCACTGTATTGTTTTTATAATATTAAATTTTCGATAGAAGAGTTGTAATAAATGATCGAAAGGGTCAAAAGGAAGAGATGGTAACTATATATAACAATGAAATAAATATGAAGTTGAGATCAAAAGTGAACTTATTTTTATAACACGGTTATATTTACAACGAAATTCACTGCAAATAAATAAAGAATTATTAATGTAAAACACAAATCAAATAATGGAAAACTTTGGATTAATGAAACTTTGAAAATCTGTTGATATGATCGCTTAAATTAAATTATTTAAGGATGCAAAACTAGTTTAAAATACCACGCAAAACATATAGTTGAGGAAATGAATCTAAGTTTGAAGCTTGAAATTTGCTGATGAAGTACATTGTGTTAATGGAAACCAAATTACTAAACCGTCGATCTCGTCAAAATTAAAAGGATTCAGGAAATTCATTGCTTTTTTGTGAATCTTATCTGCGGATCTGCATATTAAATAACAAGTACTCATTTCGCATGAAATTATAATTGATGTCATCCACCTAGCCCTTTTTCTCAAAAAAAGGATAAAAGAAAAAGAAAAAATTGGTCATGCGAACACAGAGTGAACCAGCTTGGTTAGCAGTTCTTGACTGAAGTAGTAGTAAGTGAAAGAAGGGAGTTATTCATGAGTTTAAGAGTTGATTTTACCTCTTTCGTATTTCTTAATGTTATGAACACTGTAGCTGATAGATACCAAATTGCACCGCTCATTTTTATTATTCAACATAATCATTAAATTAAAAATTTAAAATTTAACAAGGCATTTTTCTAGGATTTTAGTCCCAAAGCTTTTTGTACTTCTTTGATATTTCGTTACGATTTCCGAATTGATTTAAAGGATATTTTAGTTTACACCTACCGAATTTATCACCAACGTATAATATTATTGATAATCCGGAAAATTTTCAGAAGCTGTATAGAAAATAGAGTTCTCGCAAGTGATAACGAAAAACGATTACCACTAAGTTGATGTGACTGATCACCAACATGAAAAAAAACGAACAACAAACTATTAGTTCAAACAGTTGTCCAACAAATGCCTGATGTATCGAACTTGAGATATTAACATTGCAATTGCGGCAGTTTTACTTTTCTTGCTGATCAAAAAAATGATTTAGAATTTTTAAAACAGCCTGGAAGCATTCTGTTTTATTGCTTTGATTATTTTTATGAGTCTTTGCAGCTTGTAAGTTAGTGCAGGCAGTTAATATCAATTGCCTAATAGAGTCATTTAGGTCGAAAACTTTAAGTTATTTCGTTCTTAGAATTTCTGTGATCGGTATTTTAAAGAATTATTATCCTAAACCTATATATGATATATGTATGAGGGTGATGTAATGCGCTTGGAATGAGTACACATCCTTGTGCACAATGGAATTAAAAGTATTTATAATATATACCAATTTACCCATCTCTTACTATATAAAGAGCAAAGATCATCTGATAGTTCTTTACTCACTGTAATTATGTTTCGTTATAAGCCAATGCTCACTATGTAAGGATTTAAACCATTTGTCTTGTTAGTTTTTTGTACCAGCAATTATGGTTCAGCTGCCCTTTCACACTCATTTAATTCGGTTCATTTAAATCCTTTGAATTCCCCCATTAATCTACTTAATTTATTCATTTCATCTTCGCAGGCAAATGCTACGAAGTTATAAGCGTATTTTCTTATTTGTATCGTGGTTGCTAACAAATAAAATTAGTTATAACAGACTATAATCAACACATTCGTCTATACCAATTACAATAACAAACAAGGAAGGCACTTGAGCATACAAAAATCAAATTCAACTGTAAGCTACAAAAGTAAGAAGCCCTAAGTTACACGACAGATGCTGCTATTTGTAATGATTATTTTCTACCCATTGTCCATTTTTTTACTGATTCTATATAGCTTTATTTGTTTGAACTAGATAATTTTCTTTGTATATAGTAAGAGATTGGTAAATTCGTATATATTATAAATACTTTTAATGCTATAAATCTTTGTGCACAATATAATAATTATCAGATAATACAAACAACTTCACTGTAAAAAGAGTATTATTATCTGCTAGTGTTATTCGTTTGATTCCTTGATCAAAAGCCGCTCATCACATACTTGTAGATAATACATTCCTACACTACATAACACATTGTTATTCTACAATTTCCTAGAATGTCTCGACAACCGTTGGTTAATTTCGTGAAGCGATTGACGATACATCTGTTCTTATGAAAAGAGTTAAGACAACTCTCGATGAATAATTTTAGCAGACTTAACTGATTATTAATTTCAAATATAAAGCCGGTGATAGTAACTCCAACATTTGCTCATAAATCCAATTCATTTGATGGGTGAATGTCCTTAGTTTTGTTTCACATTTCAGTCTATTGCAATGTACAATTTGAGCACTAGAAAGTGTTTTGCACCGCAATAGATTTCATTTTATTGTCAGAAGAAAAATACCGTTTCTTTGCAGTTTGACGTTTAGCATTGTGAGTATAACCATATCAATGAATCACAGAATTTTATCGTATGAGTAGGAAAGCTATGACAGGAATAATATGTCCATTATTACCTGTATGCCGACACTGATAACATCTCTGCCCAACAGGAATGCTTCAGAGTGCCATCTCACCATTTACCTAAATTAGTTAGATAACAAACACCTGTTTTCTTCCTTCTTCTGAGCTGTTAATGAACTCTAAAAACTAAAGTGAAAGCACTATTACTTTTAAATGTCCTATTTAAAAATTGTGTTTTCACTTAGAACAGCAATATTAAATTCTAAAAGGTATTCATCTCTGATAAGCTTACAAATGAATGTATCCACCAGAATAGTTTCATGACTAATTATGCAAAGCCGCAAAACGTAATCACCTGTATGTATCAGGAAACCTAGCTATAAATTAAAGACTGTGTTATTTGAATATTCCTTAGATAAATATAAAACTCATCTTCCAGTTTTATATCCCAAGCGAGAAAGCATCCAAACGTATCTTTCAGCTGTAGTTAAACTTAGCATTATCTAGAATATTACGAACCGTTAGCAAAGAACATGTGAATTGTTTAATATGTTGTAAATTGCTGAATTTATGGTACTAACAAAGAATAAACCTGTCCGAAAAATCGAAATTTAAATAACAAAAGCATTTGCATAATAGGAATTTTTTGTAGTTGAATTTATTACTTTGGGAGAAGTTTACTGATCTCAGGAAGATTCCTTGAATGTAGATGTTAACACAGGAATACAATAATTCCTTTACCAACAGAAGCAACAGTACAATAAATCTTATAAAGAAGAGTTAACGTCAAGTAATGGAAATCCTTTTTTGAGATTGAATTGCCTCTTAGTTGAACTCTTCAGGTTTTTGGCAAAACTGAAGTGTTGGACATGAGTGACTAATAAAGAGCTGCTGACCTGGTTTAAAATTAAATCTAATTACTAGTTAACAAACCATAAAGGAGGTCAATTAAGCAAGTTAATCTTGTAGATTCAAATATAAATAAGGTGTTGATACCGTGTAAACAATCTATTTGGAAGATGAATAAAAAATAGTTTCTTACGTGAAATATGAATTTGGAACGATTGTTTGACGGGTGAAATAAGACAATTCTTAGTTCTGTGAATTCAATACAATTTTATTTGATATGTTTTCTAAGTTATTTGCAATTTGCGAGACTTTTTCGAGTCTTGCGACATTTCTCACTGAAGTGATTCATTACATAAAATGAATATATAAATAAATGTTAATCTAATATAATGAACCATTTGTCTAATTTCCATCTTTGTTTCCGACCAAGTTTATTTTCAACGGTTAAGATACCAATTGACCACTTTGACACGCGAAACCAAATGACATGCGAATGTTTTCATTCTGATAACTAATTTTATATCAATTGGGTAAGCTCATTTGTACAGCTCTTTTTTTTGCATTTATCTTTCTTATATCCAATAGATTTAAAAGTGTATTTGTTGTAAGCCATCTCAAAATATATGGAATTAGGATTGTTAACAAGGTTTTCTTTTGGTACTTTTATACTGCCTCTTTTTACTTCATCTGTAAAGTGTATGTTGTCGGCCAAATTCTACCAAATCTCTACTCCATTTATTCAAATGTACTGTACTACTGTATGTCGTTCAATACATAAAGGATTCCATTTTCAAGCAAATCAAAACTTCCACAATGCAGTCAACAAATTACAGCTTATCTGCACTGAAACCAAGTATTCTGAAACTTCTTGTAAAATGTATTTGTAAAATAGTATATGATTTAACGGCAGGCGACTGTTATTAATCAAAATATATCAACTTTTACTAATCAAAAAATTTGGCCAGAAATATCTCGATGGTTTTCCATACTGCAGTTTTTTTGAAATGTAATTAACCAGAATTCAATAATCTAAAAAATTTTTAAGGCAATAGTTGAAATGAGTGCTGAAACTGCGCGCAATCAACCGATTGATTTCGAACATATGTGCAACAGCTGTTCTGTTGAAGGGTTGATAGATGAGTTAGCGTTGGAATATTTTAATGGCCGCATCTCCCATTTCTTCGCTCATTGACAATCCAATTCCATTTTTTGTTGTTGGCATTTTAAACTTCACCTGCTAAATGCAAGCTTTTCATTTCATCTATTTCTTCTTTATTTCTGCGAAAAATTAATTTCAGTTTAAGATAGTGCAATTAAAAAGTGGTAAATACTTTATCACTGTGTACATTACGAATTACTATCATATTTTAATTCCGAATATTTATACTCCCCTGAATAGCTTTATTTTCTTTCGTGGATGAGTCTCTGTTAAACATCCCATTTACGCCATTATAAATATGACAATATTTTTTAAGTGATTAGGAATTGATGCCGGAGTATGGAGGAAAATGAAAAGAAGTGGAATAGCTAGATATAAGTGTGAACGTGTTTTGGAATGGATTTCGCACACGTCACTATTAATTGCTTCAGTGAAAATTTATCACTTTTCATCCTGTTAATCTTAGTAAATCTGTTATGTATTATACCAAAAAAAAAGAAAAAAAATTTTTTTAGGAATATAGAATCAATTACAGGGAGAGCGAGAAAAGGAATACAGAGTCACATTATTGCTCTATCTACCCAAAAATATCTTCCTCACTTAGTGTTGATGGGTTATCTTTTCTTTTTTCTGGTATTGCTTTCGTCTGACCTCTGGCCTTTCATGCATTAACCTACAATTGCTAAGAAGTGATGTTATTGGGTATGTAATATATGCAATGACAGCCATATTTTTTTACCTATACCCATACAAAATGTTTTAGATTAAGGACAAATAGGTTGAGAATATTTTTTAGAGTAAATTTCCAAAAAAAGAAATCCTTTCAATTTCCGATTTCTCCTCTTTCAGTAATTCCCCTCTTTCATGTGAACGCACTGTTTTGAAGTTTTGATCGTTTGAAAATGGACTGTTTTTGAATGTTCAGATCTAATCGCAAAAATGGTGGCCAAGATTGTTGTTATACTCTTTGCATTGATTGTGATCACTGCGGCTTACAAGGAATTCATTTTGAAGGAAAATAAGACGCCAAAAGATATTTTGCTTTTACAAGCAACTTCATTTAACGGCACTTGTAATGAGTGTAAAATGGTTAGGTTTTTGGACCATCCCGTTTTTGATTTTTTAATTCTACGACAGTATTTACTTTCTTTCTTAATTTTTCTTTTTATCAGAATCTTTCATTCGAAATTTCAGCTTATTAGTCGTTTTGCGGAGGCTATCAAAGACCCAAGAAAAGTAACCGAATTGAAAGATTTGCTACGAATACTTTGCCACGAGACACCATATGAAGATGAATGTCGTCTGCTAGTTAATCAGTTGGATCATTTTATCGAAAAGTTGGAACCATATTTGGTTCAATTTCTTCTCCTTTTTTGAACTTTTTTTTTTCATTAAAGAAAAACTTGTGGTTTTTAATGATAACGGACATAATTGTATGTGCTGTAAGATCTTTATCCAGTCGTCCGAATTTGTCTTTCCATACTGCTAGAACTGGGCTGTTTTACCTATTCCGCTGTGTTTTGGGTGAAAGTTTGAGAGAATTATTTTTGGCACTATTCAGGTTTTAGTGTTACTCAGCTGTCAGTTCTGGGAGATTTAAGTCTTATCCATCCTTTTAAACTGATTTGCAGGACATGTTTTATGTTATATGCAACTTTGAGATTATATTTTAGGAAAATCCAGAGAAAGTTTGTCAGCACTTCCGCCTTTGTTCGAATCGGAAAATTGAGCATTTCCATCGAATAAATATGATTTACGGAAGAAAAAGTGCGGATGAAGATTCAGCGGTACTTTTTATAATCCTTCACTTCAAAACTTAGTATTATATTTGGTGTTCAGCAACTTTGGAAATGTAGTATCTAACTTAGGACACGCAAAATACCGATATCCATTTAAATTAGATTGAAAAGAAAGGTATTTTTATGATGTTATTGCAGCGTGAATTGATATGTGAAGAGTGTCAGTTTGCGGCAGAGGAACTGAAACATGCAATAGAAGACGAAAAAACTCAGCAACGATTGAAACGATTCATTTCGGAGGAGATTTGTAGTCAGTTAGGCAGTTTGCGAGGGAAAGTATGCATTTGCTAAACTCTCTTTGAAATTCGATATCAAATCTTTAGAATTTTATTATTTTTTTCCTAAAATTAAATTTCTGGGATTTTTTTTAGCCCTAAATGTTTTAAAATTTTAAACTAATTATGCTTTCTTTGAGTTTTTCTTATAGTGTGATCTGTTGCTTGAAGAATTTATGCCAGAACTTATAGAAGAACTCGACAAACTTTTACAAAATACAAAAGCAGTAAGTTGAGCGATATTAAGGCTGGGATATATCAAAACTCTGTAATGAATGTTTCATGTTTTCTTTTGTTAATTCTCGATTATAAGTCATAGTTTTGTCAGCTAACGTATAGTAATGTTATAATGGAGTGTTATGCATACATTAGATAAATGTTCTATCATAATTTTTGGATTTCAAAAACTCATCTCCTTAGTTTAGAAATAGCGCTATTTGATCTTAAATATGAACAGTATTTCTGGATTTAAAATGTTCTCATCTTGGAAATGTTGATCGCTGCTAGAAGTAATTCTCTCCTTTATTCCCTTATTCCATTGAAGAATTGAATTCCAAAAGTTGCAGTTCTTAATGATTTCACAAAAATTTTCAAATACTTTAAGTTCTGTGCTAACATTGGTCTTTGCAAACGTTTGGTTGAGCCATCAGCTGCACCAGAAAGTGACGTTATAAATTCTGAAAAGGTTAAAATTTTTCGTATCATTATTTCTGCTCACTTCAATTTTTCAAAAAAGAATATTTTTCGAATTAAAAACATGAACTTCTTATTGCGTACTTTTCATCTTTCACATTTCGTGTGCAGTGTTGGTGCTTGCTACACTGACTATCGGTTTGATATTCTATTAAAACATTAATGAAAGTAAATACGAGTAAATACAATTAAATATAGATTAGCTAAACACATTTCTGACTTTTTTTATTATCTTGAATATCAAGAAATAACTTCATCGAAGTATCTAAAACATTCAGAACTCATGGTATAAATTAGAATCCGAAATTGAAGTTCAAATTTAGCTAAGCTTTGTTTGTGCTTTGTCACAAAATAGTAATGTTCTAAACATTTTCTACCTATCAGACTTCATAACTAGTTCTTTCATACCACAGTTTTCCTATATCGGTACTTCAGTAAAATATTGCGAAACGATACATACACAATACAATACATACATTCACATGATAATTATCGTTTCAGATGATATGATAATTGCCGTTTCAGAGAAATAATAGTAACACGATGCAGATGGAAAATGACTTTGTGAAACCTATGAATGAACTCACCACTGGAAGCATTCTGAAAGGTTAGTTCTATTCTAAATTAGGATTTGACATAAAGCTCCATCATCTTGAGATTCAAATTCCATTTTTATTATCCGTCACAAATAATATCGTCCCTTCTTGTCTCTTTCGCCGGCAATTTATCGAAGTGGAGTTTTAAACAATTCATTAACCGCTCATATAATAACTATTAGTTTTTCTTGCTTATAACCTGACCTGACATCGACATTAAATTGAAAATTTTCAGCAGAAAACCTGCAAACGTGCGAAGCATGCCGGGATGCATTAAGTAAAATAAAAGCACGATTAGTTGATTCAGTTTTCCAAAAAGTTTTGGAGAATATTTTACACGACAAGTTTTGTCAAAAACTGCTCTATGAAAAAAATCTGGTAAGTTTTCTTATTTAAATTACATTATTCGAAGATACTTTAGTAAAGAAGTGATATTAAGTGCATAAAATTGCCTTTATTAATAATCTACCTTCATATCCAATATTCTTTTCCATTCGTTTAATGGTACAAAATTAGTATTCAGAAAAACACGATATGTGCATTTTCAAAGCAATAGTTTTCTGTTCCATGAAAAAATACAAAATTTGATTCTTTATCGCTAAGATGATAAGTCTTTTAATTTAGTGCGAAAACCTGACTATGACTTACATGCCGAAATTTCTGGCCTGGACTGTTATCTACTTGAATCAGCATGATATCTGCAAGGTATTATTTGAAAATTCTTTGATATAAATTATTCTGATTTTTAACTTCTCCAAAAAGTGTAAAAAAATAATAGTATCTCTTAACGTGGATTTCTACTAGTAACCAAGCGTAATCTCTTCTTCTTTTCAGTTCTTGGGAGCCTGCAAACACAAGATATAATTGGAATACTGAAGAGAAATACCAAAAGTTATAATTGTTTCGGTAATTCTTATAACATAACGCATAAATTAAAGGACGTCTTTATACACATTGCAACGAAATATAGTCGGTAGCGCCATGGTACTTGAAATCGAACAGTAGTGAAACAAAATGCCTATCTTTATCACTTGGCATCGAGAGTTTCATTTTGATTTTATACATCAAAGTCAGTTTTGTTGTTAGCAATATTACTTTTAACGTTAACCGAATAAAACGAAGGCGCTTTATTTTTAACTGGAGTAATACTGATATAACTAACAGAAAAGATTTTGTAAAAAAAAGTTTATTTTTTTCACTGAGAAGATTTCTTTTCTTCATTCTTCTTGAAGAATCGAAGTACGAAGTGATGGTGAGATGAATGCTCTCTCATCAAACCCTTTACCACGACGACGATACAGAACTAAATGATTGCCATCATTGACATCCAACGGGAACTGTTTGTCATTCACCCTAGATAAAAAATTTAATTCAGTTGATTTCTTTGTCATATTTTTCAGCATATAACTGATAAGGCTTACAAAGTAACGAAGAAAAATTGACATAAAAAAAAGGTAGTTTCAGCGATAGTTAAAACGCAAAATGCAGTACCCAATGATTTTCAGCGATAATACCATTTCTAAAAATTCGAAACTTACCAAATCAAGGCTAACTTGTCGCAGCTCGGATTGTCAATTTCCTTTATATAATCAATGATACGTCGACAAAGCGCTGATGCGCGTGCCATGGTGTTCTTATACCCTAATTTATGAAAAACAGTATATAAGCAATGTTTGCAGAGAATTGTGATGTTTCTATTGTTCAATTACTCATCATTCCGTACTACCTCGTGTTCTTGACTGCTTGATTAGTCAATTTCAGCTACTAGCTCTAACTTTTGCTGCTTGATTTGCGAACTTCCAGAAAGTTCTACAGAATCTGATATGCAGTGACGCTTTGGAAAATTAAAAAATAAAGTGAACGAGCAATAAACTATTAAATTGCAAGTTCTGTAGTAACCTTTAGGTGCTATTTCATGGAAACTGAAACTTTTGGGTTTGTGGTCGATTAGTCCTCGGACATGTAGAACACTAACAATACGGTCAGCACCCGAGAAAATCATATTTGGCCATCTCATTTGAAGGTTCTCAAACTGGAATTGAAAATTTTCAGGAGTACTACAAAGTTTGAAATTATTTCAAGTATTTGTATCGCATAGTTCCACTTACTGTATAAGTCAACTTGCCATCAACTTACTCAGATGCTTACAGTTGAAGCTGTTCATTTTTAATTCTTAATTTAAATGCATAACAAGTCAGCAAGTGGTTCAAATCAAACAGTGAAGTACGTACCGAAAAGCGTTGGAATGATCGACACATTATTTCGATTGGCTTTTTTGGTGGCTCTGGCCTACAATCAGACTGGATTTTTCTTTTTTAACAAATTATTTCGAAGTTTACTTTAGAATAATGCTTCTAGATTTTCCTTAAGTGAATAAAAAAGATGCATACACGACTGGACCACGAATTATAACATTAGTGCCATCGATTTGAAAAGTGGGATCCGGTTGATCAAAAAATCTTTCGAATTTTGACAAAGATGCAATTGTATCCTGCAGCATTGGGAGGAATGGCTGTTTAGGATACTGGCGAACATAGTCTGAAATATCCAAGAACTAAAGCCGATTAAAGAATAAAAAGTGAATAGAAAGAATAAAAGTATAAAATACCTTTTTGTACATATAAAATACCTCAGAGGGTTAAGATTGTAGAAATACCTTGGAAATGAAGAAATATGCCAGCAAGAAGTAGCAAAAGAGTTACAGAGGGAAGGAAGAAGATAAGAAAGAGGTTGTAAGTGGAAACTATCTTGTCTACAAAATACTGATGCTTTTATTCTACATCTAAGCGGAAAATTTTTCTTTTTTCAAAAATTTCCAAATACGACACTTGATTTTTGTTTATCTTATAGCCATCCCAGAATTTTGCTGTAATCAATCAACTACTTACTTTGCTGACAGTTGATATGCGTGCGAATTTGTCCAATTAATGAACGTTCCGCTAAATCAACATGTTGTCGCAATAGGATGGACTTTGTACCAAATTCACACATTGCTATCTGTCGATAATCCATACTTGCTCTTGAATACCACCTTTCAAATTTCTTGAACCTAATTTATTTTCGTTTCTAATTTTCAAACTGGAGTTTTTATGGTTGATGAGAATTAGAATATTTTAAACTGAGGCTCTCACGATTTCAGAAACAGATGGAGGAACAAAGATGTACATCCTTCCTGATGGGAAAATTCTTGAAATTTGGAGAATACTAAAAGAACACTTTTTTACAATTATCCTTTTTAGCAGTTCATCCTTGTAGCTTCATCTAAACATTTTGAATATCTAAAATATAATAACAACTTACCGGCCAGTTAGAATGTCCAAAGCTCCTTGGAGATAGGTTTTGGTAGGGCGAGCATCGCCGAAAGGCACTTCCTCGATAATTATTAAATCTCCAATGCGTTCGATATTAAAGCGATAAAAGCGAAGCTCATTGTCGATAAATCTATAAACACTATTTTTACAAAAAAAAAAAAAAAAAATATCACACTGTTACTGATACGACCAAACAGAAATTGTTGATGTGTACAGAAAATTTTTTTCCGACATATTTTCTCGAATAACGCTCCCTTTCGAAATGAGCGAAGATTAAGATGATAGCAAGTGGCAAAGAAGTCCAGAAATGAAAGCAGCCTAGAATTACGCACTGAGTAATTTTCTCCGACAATACTGCCACCTACCCATAATATTATTTATAGAAAAATATCATGAGTACCTATACGAGTCTAAGAATGATGAAATTTGAATTTTCAGCTTACAAAATGAGATAAGAGGTAAAAAGATTTTAAGATAAAAAAAAAAAAAAAAAAACAGATATGCAGTAGAAATTTGAAATGTTTACCTACAGAGCATTGCAAGGAAAGTTTTGGTGGTAACAACGTCAAATTTCAAACTTGGACGCAAATAACGAGTTAATGCAATCGGAACTTCCATGGAATAGTTAGCTTCTACTATAACACCTCGGGTTCGTCGACGATGCTCCAGCTTGCACGCATCTCCTTTGAAATATGGTTCATCCTCACCTATACTTTCTACGAATTCAGTCAAAATAACAATCTAAACTCTAATTTTAAGGTGACTACTTATTTTCAAAATTATCAAAATCAAATTTTGCAAAATATTTAAATATCATCTGCTGTTTCAAAAGAGAAGAAAGCATGCCTTCAATAATTGGTGCGATTCCATCCAACTGAATAATTTTTTTTTTATTGTAACTGTTTTTCAAGAGTGAGTAGTCGAAAAGAGATTCCACTTTAAAATTTCTCAAAGTATCTGGTACATTTCGTTCATGGGCATGTGAGGAAGGGATATAATGTCGAGTAAACGAAGTTAACGGATGATAACGATCAACATCTTGAAACATATAGTAACGATCCGATGACGTAAATCGGCTCATATTCAAATTTCTTCGAGCTTAAACTAATCGAACTGAACGAAGGCAAGCAAAATAGTACAACTGAATTGTATATGCGATAATGTGTTTGTTTCAAACTTTTCAGTAAGTTCTTGGAAATAGAACAATAATTTGAATATGCAAAAATTAACCGTTTCAGCATGAAGATTATAAAATGTAACGTGTTTGACTCTTAATGTTATTTTACCAGAATTCTTGTGTGGTCGACTCATTTCAATCAGGTTATTAATGATGAAAGCTATTCCACTTGTATTATTTTTCTCATTTCTTCGTAACTTTCAGAAATATGTCCCATCGTGCTTTATCACTAAAACGTGCGAAGTCAGAAGAGTTACAACGTTTTCATTGTACGTCAAAGTCTCAAATAAATATAAAACCAGTTAAAAATATGCACCAAATGTTACCAGTCATACCTGCCGACTTTTCCGGTATATTATTTTCCTATTCTGAGTATAATTTGTGTATATGCAAGGAAAATCAACAGAATACGAAGTAAAAATTTGATATGTAAAACTTCGATCAGACAAATATTAATTGTAACAACAATATACCCATTCACTTCATGCATATCAAATGTTTATTCCAATTAATCAATACATGACTTCCCGTAGGAAACTCCTGCATTAGTTTAGCCGACTTTCATAAAGTCGTCGACAAAAAAAAAACTGCGCAACTGTCATGAGCTGCGCCAACTACAATTTTTTCACAAGCAACATCGTCAAAGGTGGTAGGCTGGTTTGCACTGGTTTGACAGTGTGTGAAGGGTGCGTAGATATCTGTGTGGGTGGAAGTGTAAATGGCTTGTGTGGTCATTCTCGCATTTTGGATGAGAACTGGTGGTGTTATTATTTCAAATGCGATTTTCCGATTGGTTCTGGTTATTTCGACCCGTATTTCCGGCTAAATGATTGTTTTTTTTTTTTTTTGTGGTTTTTGTTTGGGGATGTTGTTCTATCTTTGTTTAATTATTTACACACGTATGCAGTTATCTATTGCTTCTCATCCGAATTCTCTTAGCTTTGCTCAAATTCTTTTAGTATTCTGAGATTTCAGAAGTAACATGTGTAATTCCTCATCCATATCAGATGCAAGGAGGATTTCTGCTTGCATAATTTAGCGTTGTTTTGTTCTGTATTCGATAGTAATGTAAACATATGTATTTGCAGCATTTATGGAGCTTAGGGTTGGTGGTCGTTTTCGACTTGGTCGGAAAATTGGAAGTGGTTCATTTGGTGACATCTATTTGGGTAGTGAATTTTAAAAATAATGAACTTATTTAGGATTTCCTTTCTTCATTTTAAGGGTATAGTGAGTAGTATTTA